AATACTTAAAAATATGTAGGTACTAATTAAAAATAATGTACTATTCATAAAATTAGTAAAATATAAGAAATATATATATAATATATTTATTCATATACTCTTGTCTCTTTCAAATCAATACCTGGTAACTGGCAGTTAACTCAAATTATGAAAAAAAAAAAACACTTAACTACAATAAACAATAAATTATTCTATAATAAACTTCTATTACCTTAAATCATTATTGAACTACAATAATTGACTCAGCTATATAATTTTATTTCCCTAGTATATTTATAAGGATTAGAAATCTAAGAAGAAAATAAATCCATTTTAGGTGATTCTATGACTGTTCAAGTTATTCATCAGCTTATAATAAAGGTAAGGCTGTGATTAAAAATTATACAGTTAGTTAATATATTTCGTATAATAATATAATGTATAAAACTATCAACTTATATAAAATAATTCTGTCATATCAAAAATTTAGAATATTTTCTGAATATAGGTAATCAGTTTGGATACTTTACTATAGCCTTCACCACAGCTCACGAGAAAATAGATTAAGTTATTACAAACATAAGTTCAATAATTCAAATTTAAAAGCATTTTATTTAACTAGACATATTAATAGATGTATACTCAAACCTAACAAAAATGTAAACTTAATATACAATTATCAATTTCAAAAATACTACCTATTGAATTTAAAGAACTGAATAAGTACTATGCATAACTTGTTGAAAAAGAGTTTAAACTATATATATTATATATATATATATATAATATATATGCACTGTAAATACTGAATTAAAATAACTCAAATGTATTTAAAAATACTGTCAAAACAATATCATTTGAAATATAAAATTAAAAATATTACAAATAAAATATAAAAACTTAATAAGTTGTATAAATAATATAAAAATAATTTAAGTTAACTATTACATTATCTAATATCAGTATTTACATACATAAAAACTGTATATTTTACAATAATTAAAACAGGGATCAACACATATAAGTATTGCTAAAGGTTATTGGTAAATAAATAAATTCAATTTTGACTTCTGAAAATTTTTTAAAATTTTAAAACTAAGCATTTATCTGAATAATAATTATTTTAATTATTTCAAACACATAAAAATCCACAGTTACAAATTAGAACAAATGAAAATCAAGTCTAAAACCTTACAGCACAACATTTTGATTAACTATTGTCTATTTAAAATAGCCTGAAGCCATGTTAAAAAAAAATAAACCAATCTACTACAAATTATAAAATAAATTGAAAAGTTCTGTTCATTAAGATAATAATAATACTACTATCAACCAAACTAAAACAAAATGCAAAACTATAATAATATAATGTTTTAAAGCTATTTTATCATTTGCTTATTATAACATATAATTATTGTGTCAATAATTTATGTTATATTAAAAAAATATATTGATAACATTTAATTTAATTTCAACCTTAAGCAAATGTTATATGATGACTGGACTTTTCTAAATATGTTTATTAATGTGCCACCAAAATTACTAGATATCACAATAAACTTGATTAAACTAATAATTTTGGTCAATTTCCAATGACCAATTTAAATATGTAATCAATGAAATCACACACCCAAGAGATTGTAAGCCTAAAATAAAACTAAAATATTATAAAAAATTTGATGAACACTGAATAGTTATAAGAATTTATATAAGCACTCAATAAAATATTTATCAATACGAGAAATATCAAAGAAATACATTTCTTTCTAATAAATTAATATACAATATTCTTTGAAATTTCTTTGAGGTTACTAATATCTACAAAATCTTAAGGTCATAGAATCACCTGATTTCTTGGAGTTTTCTCAATTTTCTTATAAATTATAAATTTTTTAAACTATATTATAATTAAAATTAACAATCATACCCGCAATGGCGTCCCATTACTTCCATAATAAATGTTCTTTGATGTGAATAGGCTGTTGACACAATAGCATCAATTGCATCCATTATGCGATGTAATGCAGAATCCGTACCAATTGTCATATCAGTACCACAAAAATCATTATCAATAGAACCAACCATTCCGACAATATTCAATTGTTTATATTTTTCACGTTCTGCCTTATTAATTTGTGAAGTCTGCAATAGTTCATCTAGAAGACTAGACCATTCTTGTCTAAATAGGTTGGCTCCTGTTAAAGAACCGTCTCCTCCAATTACTACCAAATTTGTAATTCCACGTTTCACCAGGTTGCAAGCAGCCTTAAGCCGTCCAACACGTTCTTTGAAATCCATGCATCGTGCTGAACCAATTACAGTACCGCCCTAAATTGAACATATTAAAAATTTTAATTATTATTAATGTATAAGTATTGTTCTGTAAACTGAGCCAGGGGTTATTTGAAGGTCAGAAATAATAGAACTCAATACGGTAAAGAACATATCAATTAGATCAATACATCAGGCAACAGAATAAATATCAATTTAAGAATATGATTATTTGTAGTACAGTTTTACCACGAGTAACCATTATAATATAGAACAACATTTTATTAATAAGATATGCACATAATAAAAATTAGTCCGACTTTAAAATAATTTCACCTTCCTAATACATTTTATTGATCATCAAAGTTGTATTAAAACTCTGCCTTACTTGGTCTACTGAGGTCATGCCATAAGAGTAGCCATAAATGTAGTTATTTATTATAACAACAAATATACCAATATATGTTTTATAAAATGATACAAATTCACCATATAAGTAGGTTAAACTAAGGTCAATATTTTATTAAAATTTAAATATTACAAAAGGAGATTCAAAAATTAATTCAAAACAGGGCAAGGAGTACATTTATATGACAGCAATTAAATGTTTAGTATTACAACATATTAATGCAACAAAATCATATGGAATTGTTCTATAGTAGAGTAGATTATTGTTTTAAAAAAGATTAGTATGAATTATTTGATATTTATAGTTTAGCTTATTCCATATTCTAAATATTACTAAAAGTTAAAATGTCTATAATTTATTAGTCAACTAGAATTCCTTGGCCTATTGCGTGCAAACATATTGATTTCAGACAATTATTGTTTTCATTAAATTGCAATACTAAATCCTTTTTAGTCCACTTATGTGACTAGCTAATGCTAACAACTTCATACAAATTCAAAACATGTAGTTCATTTAAAATACACAGCACGAACAAACAATAATACATATTTATGAGAACATACCTATTGATATTTTTATATTAGTTATATAAATATAACTAACAAAAAAGTTCATAAATTATGTGAATTCCACTCAACACACCTTATGTATTATAGATGATACCGAAGACCAATTAGCTTCTTCTATGTTATCCCCTCCATCCACCATACCTTGATAACCCTCTTTAATGAAAAACACCTTGCAACCAAGGTATATGGCCATACGAACAACAGCACGGACAGCAGCATTCATCCCTGTCAAAATAAAAATCATTTTTAAAGATTATTTTAAAGACTATGCAACCAAAATAGAATATTAAATAGTTATTGAATACCTATAAGCAAAAATCACATTAGCATATGTGGTTGGGTTTCAGAAAAAATTATGAATTTGCTGTGCCTAGCCCACACATTTAAGTTATAGCCAAAATGGAGTATATTACATTACATGTATTCTAAAATAATAACATGTAGCTAGATACATTTGATATTTACACACAAATTTCTATATAAAGTTATCTTTATCATCATTAAAGTGATGATGACGAATTAATAAAATAATTATGTATAAGTATGCATGAGAAATTATTTCATAAAAAACAAAAAAAAACAAATAATATATATTTATATAGTGAATAAATGTTGCCGATTTTAGTTTAAATTTGAAAATTATGAAATTATAGAAGTAACAAAACTATCTATGATTTGTTAAACAAATATGAAACTAAAAATGTAATCACAAAGAGAAGAATTTTTGTTACTATTTTATCAATATTAAATTAGAACAATATGACAGTATATTGTACATAAATATAATATTATTCCTGTATTATTTTATAAAATTAGGTATATAATGACTGGCAATATGATAAAATAGTATTATATTCTTGAAAATTTTTAATTTTAGGTCTTTTCAGAAATTTGTGTGTACATTAGTAAAGTCATATTTTTTATATCAAGAAATTTAGACTTTAAAAGACTTGCTACTATTGTCATAATATTGTTTAAAATATTAATTGATGGTTCTTTGTTTTATTTGTAAAATAATATCTCTGAATTGCTGAACTATTTAATTTTTACTATAAAGTTCAAAGGGTAAAATAAAATATGTGAATACAGATGGGTACAAATAAATACACAAAAATATTTACAAAATAAACTTTTGTTACGATAATTATGAATTTTAAAAATATTTGCTACGAACCTTGTAATCAATATACAATTAAAATACTAAGACATAGCTTAATTTTAAATATTATTAACAACTAAATAAATTAAGTAGGTATACTCTTCAGTCTTTACTCAATAACTATTCCAATCATTTAGTTAAAAAACTAGCTACAAGTACCATGCTCAAAAACCCAACCCTCAGTCTCTGCATTTAAATAGATAGCTATTTTCTGGTTTATACACTTCATAATAATTGTTAAATAATTAATTGAACTGGAAATTATTTAATAGGTACCTTGCGAATCACCACCACTGGTGAAAACAGCGAGTCCTTTTCCTTTGTGGGAACCCCGTTCGATGAATCTCTTCTGATCTTCCTCCATAATGTTCTTCTCGAAAATAAAAATAATTCATAATATTAATATTAAGGTATAACAAATAGATTGAAATAAAAAAATTTTTACCTGGGTACGAACGAACTAAAACTGATAAAACTATGAGCTTTTGTGCTCAGGACGAGGACGGTATTCAAAATAATCTACGTATATTATATTATCGTTACTAGTCCATCATGTTCAGCCCTGGCAATTGGTGACGAACAGTAACGTATTGTCAGTAGAGCGTCCCGCTATCAATTGAGCAACCGCGAGTGTCTGCTGTATCGCTCTATTTTAAAACCGCGAGTCTGAAGATAGTACCTACGAAACGACCTCTTAGAGGTCACGGATCACGGTCAACGAATAAACGAAGTACGATAAGTAATTTTTTTAGTTCAATTTTATTTTTAATTGTTATTACTTATTTCACTCTACTCAGCGCGAAAGAAGGGAGCGACGAAGACAAGCAAGGTCAACAGTGCAGCAGCGGGACGTGCAAGACGCAAAGGCAACGAAAAGTGTGCTGACTGCTAGTGTGGCAGTGTGCTTGTGCTACAACAGTAGTATATATAGTAGTATAATTTATGTAAGTCGTAAGATGACAAGCACGCGCAAGTGCAGTAGCCAGTAATGCGGTATACACGATACAATACAATACCTACACTTCAAAATATGCGAATATTATCAATTATGCGATAAACGGTAATACTGATAATAGAAGTACTAAAAGATAACGCGCCGCCGTTGTTATCTTATAATAACCAGACGCTTGATAACATAATATATGTAATATATTAATTATATTAATTGGTTGTAAATTTGTAATAAACCAGCTTGATATAAAAATTAGGAGTTGCAGTCACCATATTGACTTATTGTTCTGTTGCTCAGTACTGTCTTCTAATAAGGTACTAAATAAGGTACTAACTAAGATAATAAAATAAAATAGTTGTTATAATTGGTATCTTGAATGTTGTTGCAGGCTGAAATATATTTCTGGTGTGCATCTACCCAAACCAAACCCAACAGTGAAGAGTGATCACTGATCAGTGACCAATCAATATTCTCTAACAGCAACTGATTTACTCTGTAAGTAAATAGGGATATTATTTGTTATAAGTTTTATTTAATTTTAGTGAAAAATTAATAAGTGCCTACCTATTAAGGATTTATTTAATCTTCCACAAAATTGTTATTACTTTCATCTTGCTTGTACATTTCTCAAAATAAATTAATCAAAAGTGAATTCCAAGTGCTTATAGCTAAGTGTCAAACCCTTTAAAGTAACTAATGCTTTTAATTATTTTAGGTAAGAATGATTAGATTAAATCCTACAAGAATAGAGCTAAGGATTGAAGATCTAGGCGAATTCGCGGATATCAAAAATCATTATGAAACTATTAAAAAAACTAAAGAAGAAAAACAAAAAACTCTGTACGGTCCTCTTCAAAACAGCAACTCTTCAAAAACCAAACAAGATGCTGTACAAGAAAGAATAGGATTTATCCCACGGCCCAGACATTCATCACAATGAAAAACAGTACGCTGCAGCCTAATTTTTTTATTCTAAGTATTTTTATTTATTATTTTTATACATTGAATGCTAAATTTATTAAAATATTAAATGATTTTAACTATTAACTATGTTATACCTTTTACTTTCTTAATCCTTTTGGCTTTTACTGTCCCTCCAGTTTTACTCTATATATAGTCTAGACTCTAAACCCAGGGTCTCCAAACTATGGCCAACTTACAAACAAGTTTTAACCGGCCCTCATAGGACGGTAAATAATCTAAAAATATGTGTGCTACCATTGGAAACAGCTTTTTTAGTGGATATTGCAAAATACATTAATGAATTCAATCTCTAATTACAAGGTAATGTTCTCATTTGTAGTATTTACACTTTTGTAAAAGCGTTAAGGCAAAAACTTATATTATTTGAAACACAAATGTAAAAAAATTGTTTGTTGATGTTGTATAACATAGAATGTACGACTCAAATTCCAGTTGACTTTTCTCAAAAAATAATTTCTGAACTTAAAATCCAATTCCAACAACATTTTTCTAACAAAATCCGTTTAGATATAACACTGAAGGGTTAGCTTCTACCCTACAAATGGAAACGATTGATTTGCAATATAACGATGCATTAAAAATGAAATATTGCGAAGAGACTGGTTGATTTTTATAAATTTCTTCCTGATATAGAATATCCAAGTTTAAAAATATTTCACTCATTTGTACAAACTAACTTTTTCTAAAATTAAATATATAAAATAAAAATACAGAATGAGCCTTATCTGACAAAAATTTGGAATCAATTTTGAAAATTGGAAGCAGTAATATTAAACCTCAATTTAATAAGATATTAACGGAAAAAGACCAATTTCATACATCTCATTAATAAAAAATGATTAAATAAATATGAAAATTATGAATAGGTACTAAGTATATTTAAGTACATACATACAGTAAAACCTCATTAGTTCGGACTTCGCTTAATTTGGACAGACGTTTATTACGTTAGTTTATGATGTAGATTAAAATAAACATGAAAAACAATTATGTACTATTTTTTAGGTTTAATATTTTTAGAAATATTTATAAGATATAGACTAAAGTATTGTAAGTACCTATAATTAAATATCCAATAAATTTTTTCTAAATTTATAATTTTTGGTTCTTAGTTATTTTGTTTAATTCGGACAACCTAGAGCCAAAAATTATTAGTGGATTAATGAGGTTCTACTGTATTCTAAGAATTAGGTATTTTTTTGAATATTTTTAAGTTTTAATGTATTTCTATAAAATTAAAAATTATATATATTCATACAGTTGGGCCCACTAAGAGCTTATGATATTTATGTGGCCTTCAAATGAGGGTGAAATGAAAATTACATTATATTTTTTAAATTATATATTTAATTTTGCTTTTGTCAGCCTACATAGTACATACCGTCAAAATAATATACTGTGGCAAATCACCCCCATCAAAGTTATGTTTTCGTCACTACTCTGAGGCTCTTGCAATTAATTATATTGTGTACACATTAATAATATAAATTATAAATCTAATAATATCTTACCTTGACTTGCTCATATTAACTGTTCATATTGTCATCTATGTTTGCATATCATATTAATTATTGTACAGTACAGACGAACAGTAAAAAATTTAAATCAGTAGGTATGTACAGTGCATTTTTTCAACTACCTAGTTAACTAGGTAAGATAAGATATGTCACCCAACGAAGTATTTTGTCGTCTAATTTACTGTATTTTAAAATAAGAATTGTTTTGCTATCTATGTAAAAAAAAATAATTAAGTAATGAATAAATATTATATTTTCCTTGAAATTACCTCCTATTTTATATAAATTATAACTAATTTTTACTAACTTTTACTCATACTTTCTCATTAATATTTATTTTTAATAATTGTGAGGGGAGAGCATGAAATAGATGATATATTTTTATTCCTCCTCGACAATATAAAATAAACTCATATTTTTAAGTCTTATCGATATAATTTTTTATACACTGTTAGGTACCTACCTATTATTTATTATTATGTACTTTTTAAATATATAATACCTATGAGCTAAATGAAATGGCACCTAATCTACCTACTAATTTAGGTAGGTAATAAATAATAATAATCTAATACTAGCAGTTAGCACTAGCCACTAGGTATCCATTATCTTCTAATAGGGTAGTCTCTATAAGTGCAAGAAGTGATTGTGGATACTATAAATAATAATTGAGGTGTCGGCACCGATGCGGTCGGGACATTTGCGGTCGGCACCTTTTGCGTGCCATTTGCGGTCAATTTATTTCTATCTACCGGACTATACAATTTGGGTGCTATATATAATATTTTATATACTATATACTGAATTTATGTTAATAGGTAGCTATAATGCTTTTTTGCTATAACTGAAATTATACTACTGATTATTACTATACTTGTAAAATATATTATATTTAAACTTCCCTTCACACTTTTCCAGGCTTAGGACTGGCAGTATTTTTTAATACTGCCAGTCCTAAATAAAAAATTATTATTATAAAAAATGCACATAATAATATATTTGTCACAATTCACAGACTCGCAGTATACATACATAATAAACATAACCTTATTCTAATTTTTGAATAATAGCTATTTTTTTAAGCATTTTTTAAAATCATTATCTAATTCATAGTCTACTAATGTTTTTCTAATTCTTTCGTCTAATTGTATGTACATTTTTTTTCTCCTTTTACCTTCTATATTCAAGTAGCTTCTTTCATATAAAAGCTCCGTATTTTCAGACTCTATTTTAAGACAGCTATATAAGTTCATAAATGTTGGTCGAGGTGTATTTAATATTTTATTTATTTTACTATTCCAACCCTCAACAATATTATTGGTTCTGTGTATTCTTTTATGACAGTTCCACATTCCCCTTGAAATAATTGGATTTTCCAAACACTGTTCAATAAAATAATCATAAAATAGGGTATGTTTTTTATGTAAGTACAGTAAATTGTGATTGACAAGTATATAATTATATCAATTATAGTAAAAAAGTATTATATTATAGCTACCTATTAACATAAATTAAGTATATAGTATATAAAATATTATATATAGCACCCGAATTTTATAGTCAGGTAGATAGAAATAAATTGACCGCAAATGGCACGCAAAAGGTGCCGACCGCAAATGTCCCGGAACCAATAATTGAGTTTACTTCTGAGTTTCAATGATAATTTTGGTTAGTCCACCAAATACCAAAAACGTACAACTCGTACAACAAAGCAAATTAGATTTTGAGCGAAGCGATAAATGTATTAATTTTACAATGATGTGTGTTTTTTTATTTTTTGTGTGTCCATCATCAGGGACCCGGGTATAGTGCAAAAAAATGTTTTGATTTTCATCAACGGCAACTTTTCTGGTAGGAAAATGAGTCTAATTAGTGCATTCGGGAAGTCAACATTTGAGACAGGAAAAACGGGGATTTTTAGGAAAACCAGTTTAGTGTAACTCTAAAAAAAATTAGCATAGAGATTAGAGATACATGAAATTTTCACTGAATGACTGTGTTAGCATTACTATATACAATACAATTTCTAAAATATTTTGACTAGCGTTGAACTATTTATAGGAATATGAAATTTTCGATAATTATTTGTTTTTTTTAAACAAGTAACAACCATTGATTAAATATATAATATATAATCAATGTAACAACTATCGATAAACATTTTTTCGCTCGGTCAAAAAACTTCGAAAAAGGAAAACGAGGTTCTTCGTAAGTTGTTGTTTGTGGAAATTAAAAAAAATCCACAATAATTTTGTAAAAACGTTGCTTGAATTTAGAATTTTAACAAAATTCGTAAAAATGACGAAAATCAGCAAATTATTATGTGTTAGAAATACATAGAAATATTTCTTTTTATATCATATAAGATTTAAAAATGTAATTCAAAATTCCTTATAAGTTTGTCTACCCTTTTCAAAAAAAAATTTTTACTGGGAAGTCAAATTAAATTTTTATGAGCGTTTGAAGTTGACATTTTCACTCGACTTCTCGTGTAGCGATAATGAGAAAAAATTTTTATTTTGTTGTAATTAAAAACAAATAACTGCAGACACTTGAAGTTTACATAATATGTTTAATTACCTATCATGTGATATACTTGATAAAATATTTTGACTCGTTATAAGCTGTTGACTGACATTTTCGATTTTCATTTTTTTTCAATAAAATTGTATTGGGTTTTTCAAAAAGCATAAAAATTGAATACAAGACTCTTGATATATTGTTATTTGTTCCAATAGAGGTTGAAAACGCACGGTTTTTTTTATAATAAGTTAAAGTTCAAATTTTGACAACATGTGTCAAATTGAAAATTCAAAAATGATTTTGTAGTTCAAAATTTATAAAATTTTCAATTTTCATAGGTAAGGATTAAAAATTTAAAACAACGTCCCACTTAACAGGATTTTCCGTAACTAAAAAGTCTACAAAATCTATAAATACAGTTATTTTTTACAGACATTTTAAGTTCAAATTTGTGCAATATTACATTTTATCACAAAGAAACCCGATTTTTATCATTTGGTTGTAATTCGGTTCCTAAACAGCACTATTTCGCATAATTATACCTAATATTTTTCCAGCTTCACTAATAATATAAGAATAATATTATGAATAATATATTTTCAACTTACAGGCTACTGCATAAATAGTAAGTAATAATAATAAAAAATATCCCTACGACCCTACCGTCCCTAGAATCGTTTTTCTTATACAATGATATTATTATAATATGCTTATCATTTAATTCAAACGTAATATCATTCATTACAGCGACCTTCTATAGAAATCTGACGTACAGCAGAGCGACATCCTCTTACCCGTTTTTTTAATATGATATTTACTAAACACGCTGTTACATATTATCAAGTCATTATTAATATGACAAACAAAAATGTAAGATAAATAACAATTTATGTACAATTAGAATATTATTTAAAATAAACTTAGTTTCAGTGTTCAATAGAATGAATTGTTCAGAATTTGTGTTTAACAACCGATTTTTAGAACATTCTTATGCGGCTTAACTGCTTAAGTTCGTAATTACATAACCCCGCGTCCCCGCGACCCTCGATAGTGGCAAGTATATTGTACAAGGACTTGAAGCACTATATCCAGCCATGTTTTTTAAATTATAAGCAACATGGTAGTCATCGCAAAATTCCAGATTTGGTAATTCCGCTCAACACGTCACTTGCTTATCAGTTACCAATATTATTATATTTTCATTAAAATATTATTAGGTATTAGGTACTATATACACTACGTTACGCCACGTGCCTACTGAAGGCGCAATTAGGGAGGCTTAGGGGGTATTAGCGATTAGCGAATAGCGGACGATTCGTGTCCAGCAAATATTAAGATAAGACGTTTCATCCCGGGGAGTTATATTAGGTACTTCTAGTTATTAGGCATAGGACGTTTGATCCCCGGAATATTTTAATTATTAGGGCGATTGTAAACTCTTCCAGGTACTACCTGTTGAGACTGTAAACTCTCCCGGGTCTACAAAACTAGAGGAGCACGTTACATCATTCGTATTACGCAGTTGGAAGGTTGGAAAACTTGAGCCTCTTTACTCAATATCGTTTTTAATATTGAAATTAAAAATATGTTAACGGTAATAAAATATTTAAATTACAAATATAGGTTATCGGTAATACAATTGATAATACAAATTTAAAAACGAATGGGTCTTTGCAGGAAAAAATTGTTCGTATCCGTACATAATATTGCCTATATTTAGCCCCTTTTTTGCAGCTATCATAATGTAATGACATTGATAGAACGATAACATAATTTTCATTATAAATTAAAATATTATATTTTATTAAAATAGTTAAGCGAAAATAGAAATTAACAAATCTTAAACGAACTAAACGTCTTATTGCATTCTTCGAAATAGCAAAGAAGTTTACTCTTCAAGGTGTTAATTTGCATTTCATGTCTTAATTCTTAAATGGGTTAAATGTTTTATGAGATCAATTTTTTTTTGAAAATGATATACTACACTTATCACAAATATATATCTTTTTTTTATTTTTCGTGTTTAGTTCTCATCTGTTTATAAAAACCTGATCTTGAATTATATTGTAGTCCACAAGTGGTGCATGCGATCATAATTAAGCACAGTTATCAAATGAGATAGAAAAAAAAGAAAAAAGCAGAAAATGACTGTGTAATAAACTGGAGAAACAGAATGAAATTATTTAGCCGATTATTACAGAAAAAAATAAATTATAAAATAATCAAGATTAAATGTTAGACACTGGATGTACTATAAATAGGACTATCTGCTGGGTTTATACAGAATAGTGGAAAAGTATAAAACTAAAAGTAATAAAAAAGATATCATATCTCATATTTTTCCATACTTTTAAGTTCAAAATACCATATTTTAATCTATATTAAACGAGAAGGATAATCAATTAATTGCAAGTAGCCATATTATTTTATTGTTTATGATACTATAGTACCATCGATACTAGTTCCTATTCAAAATTTTTTCCTGCGAAGATCCATTCGTATTTATAAAATGATAATCACAACTGAATCACTACTGAATTTAAAACAACTCAGGAGAGTCTACACATTGACTTCAGGTAATCATAATATTGACACTCAGGGGTTAACCATCGCGCATTGGGAGAGTTTATCACAATACCACCGCCCGATTATTATAGGAAGGATTAGGATACTCAGATTTTATAAATTATTAATATTTATTAATTTCTTCAAAATTTTATTATTTCACTAACGAGTAACGATTAGTGCAATTAAATTTAATTAAATTTAATTGAAAAAAAAAAAATGAACCAATGTTTAAAATGTTTAAACACATTAATTTTTAATGAACAATATTTAATATTAAAATATCAAATGATTATACCTACTAAAAATACAAATATAGGTATAACAACTGAATTACAAATTGTCAAGATTTAAATTAATCACAATCATATTCAGAGGACGTTACACGAATATTTGTTATCTCCGTCTTATAAGAGCGTACCTATAACATAGAAAATAGTACGTTTCGCTCCGTTAGTTTTAAAATTAGAGTGAAATGTGAATACTGAATGGGCATTGGCCTCTCATAAAAATTAAAGGGAAGATTATTATCTAGGACACCTCTTGAGCTTTTCATTATGTTTTAATTTCAAAGAGAGTTATGAGTCATAAGTGTGATTAAATTAAAACTTTTTGAAGATAAGATCAAAACTTCAAATTTCTCCTGGCAACACTGCGCTCAGTGCTCACAGTTCACAGGTGGACCTTAGAGTAAGAATTTCCAGGTCCAGCCTCCAATGACCAGTGACACCTGATATTTGATGATGCTCTTCAAACTTATCTATGGTCACGACTGTTTTACTAGTCATATAAATACATATATTTTAATTATTATATTATCTTTATTATCTATCAGAATTTCAGTTCATTCTATCTTCATTCTAGTCCGAAATGATAACGAAATAGTATATTAATAAATAATAATTTTAATATTCATTTATTTTGTGGCTGCACTTTAGCTGCATTTGAAGTTGATAACGATAGCGGATAAAGACGGCAGACACCATAAATTGTGGACAGTAGTCTTTTAGCTCTGTATGTGCTCTGTAGTCAGTACTCCGTTTCCGTGACTACTGACCACAACAATAATTATTGAACCCGGCAACGACAGAACAGTAAAACGAAGTATTGAAATTAATTTATTAGTTCTAATCTAATTCTATTCTAAAGTCGGCGTTGAAGGATTAGTGAGCTGATAGTTGATACCTACATAAAATGTTTTTGTACCGTATGTTCCATTATATCATGGTTGTACCATATACATCTTAAACGTATTCGGTCCTTGAGGTGTATCTTGTATGTTAATATAATAATTTATTATTTGTCTTGCACATTGCAGTTATGATTTCAATTTCCATAATTCTTGAGAGAAATTTTAAGCGGTGACACAATATTGTCTTGACAGTAATTCAAATCACCTTGGCCACAGTTGAGTTCGCCTTAATTAACAATTTTACAATTATTGTGCCCCTTTTTATCATTTATCATATTGTCTGTAATATTATTGTTGGTTAAAATTTAATTTAGTTTATTTTATTTACAATAATATTCATTTATCATTAATATTCAGTAATGTACATTTGACTGCATACTGTGTACTGAAATGGACAATTTTTGAATAAAAAATGTGATATTTCTATCGTAATGACAATGCTGGTGTTTAGTTTTATATGTAGATAATCATTGTTATTTGTTGTCATCTAGTAAAATATTTTTGAAATAAAACCACCACATAAGGTACCTATTAGGTATTGTAGAAAATTAAATTTATATAATTTTTAAAACAACTTAAGTTCAGAGGTCGATGAATTCAATAATTACAGTTTGTTAATAAATATAAAGTTATTAAAAAGAGATTAAAGATTGCTTAACAATTGTAACATGTGCAGGCCTAGTAATTAAATCCAGACATAATTGTGTATTTCAATTTTGAAGACTATTATTTTATAAATATTAATTAATTTAATAACCACAAATAACATACCTAAAAGAATAAAAGATACTTTGCCAGTTTCTTCTTATTATTTTTTTACATCCTTGACAAGCTTTTATGTTTTAATCAGAAGGGTTCAGATTATTTAGAATTTGCTTATTTTTACAGAAAACAATTGAAAATAGCAAAGTTATTATTGCATGTTATAATCATTTTAGATTTTAAGTGATATTTTTGTCAAGTTTCATTTTCAATCTGATGTGTTTCCCTTAATCCGTAGTTGGGAAGTTGCATAGAAAAATAACTTATCCAGGTTATAACTGAACCCTTATTTGTTTTTCAGATAATTATAGTGTTGCCCTGAAGATCAATTCAATTCATTAAAATATTTAATTCATTTATTTTTCTAACAATTAAGTTTATATAATTTATATGAAAAAAATTTTTGTTGCCATTTTCTATATTTTTATGGCATATTGAAGTTCATATTAGTTATATTTTTATATAATATCATAGTTATTTTTAGTGCTTATAAAGTCCAATCCCTGGACCTCGGTATTTAGAATATTTGGCTTCACCCCTTTATAGATAACTTTAGTTTTAATATTTATTAGTATATTATGTAATTAATTATATTTCCATATTTAGTATACTTGCACAATGCTTTAATGTAGTATCTAAAAATGGAGAATAAAATACATATTAGGGCAGATTGAGTATTAAAAAAGTAAAATGTATAATATAACAGATGTCTTATCAAATATCAAATTGTTTTACCAGTGTTAAACGTTATTTATTATGTCCATAGAAATATGTCTGACACTGACTTCAGCTCATCAGATAGTGACAATAACAATGTGTCTCCTTTTTTCAACCAATATTTTGCTTATCCTCAAGAATACGATTCTGAAATTGATGTTGGAAGCTCAGACTTAGAAATAGATGATTCGTCAGATAGTGAAATTGTTAATAGTTTAAATCATTTGGATTCTTCATCTAGTGATGTGAGTTTTCAAAGTCCATACATAATTTATTTTATTTTTATTTTTATTTTTATTTTATAATTTTAGAGTGAATTCAACTACTCTTCAGAAGATTTAAATTGTCCAGATGACTCATCTCATGATTCAAGAAATCCATCTGTATTAAGATTGTTCAGACAAAGACAAATAAAAAAAATTAAAATCGCTCCTCCAAAATCCAGTTATTGGTGTCTCCCTAAAGAATTATATAACAGGTTTATAGGTAAATATCATATTTAGTCAATAAAATAATTTAAAATTTTTTTAGAGAAATCGGCCAGTATAACCGCCGTGCTCAATGGGGTTATAAGTTCTATCAATCAGCGGTTGCTGTACATAAACTCAAATTGAGTAAACAGTTAAAAGGCCATCAAGGATGCGTAAATTCACTAGACTTTAATAAAACTGGTGACATGATAGCAAGTGGATCAGATGATTGTAAAATATGTTTATGGAATTGGTCAAATAAAAAGTGCTTACTCAATTACAATAGTATGCACACTAGAAATATTTTTCAAGTAAATTATACTTTCAGTATATTATGTTCTATATCACTCAACGCTAATTATTATTTCTGTAGACTAAATTTCTTACTACGCACGGAGATAAAGATGTTATATCAAGTGGACGGGATGGCTTAGTTGTATGGTCTTCTTTAGGTGATAGTAATGCCAAAATAAGTAAAATAATAGCCCGTCATGATCGCTCTTGCAACAAAGTTGGTGTACATCATGAAACACCATATGTAGTTCTCAGTTGTGGAGATGATGGAATTGTTAAAAATATTGATGTTCGTCAATTTCCTATTAATGAAAATAGAAGAATTACCAAGTAAGAAATGAACATGCATTTTTTTATATCATAATTATTTTAGAATACCTACATTATTTTCTTAAAATATCTTTTGGAACAATTTTAAAATGCACGCAATTCTAGGATTTTATGATCCTTATTTTTGCTACCTTTTGTTTATTGGTGAATCCACAATTATTAACCATTGGTTTTTTAATGATGATCAGATAATCTATGCTAATATTAGTTCATGAATCATCTGCCAACTTTTAATTATTAAATAATTATAACTAACTAAAATAACTAAGGCCATATAAAATATTTGAACTTCAAGATTTCTAAAAAGAAAATTTAAAAAAAAAGTTTATAATTTTTGAAATAATAAATAATTGCTGTAACAAAAACTGCTGATAACTGCCAATAACACTTTTATGCCATACAATAAATTATTGAATTCAAATTTAACACATCCATTACAGTGATCTACATAACACCTCATGTGAAGCTGAACAGTATCCACTTGCCCATCTTTTTGTTTGTTTCTATAAATTTAACAATATAATTATTAACATAAATAATAATTAATCAGTATTTTAAAATTAATTAAATCCTATTTTAGTTTTGCCATAAAATATATGTAAAAGTTTATTTGTCTATTATTTTGTTGATTAGTATACTACATATCAGAAATGCTCGTGGTTCTTCTATGCATCTTTATGGTATTGACATAAATCCTATGAAGCCTTATGAGTTTATTGTAAATGGAAATGATGAATATGTAAGAATGTACGATAAAAGACAACTAATTGTGGATCCCGTTAAAATGTTTCATCGTGAGCTTAAAAATACTAAAACAGAAAAAGTAAACAGATTATACAGCCATACTTAACACATTTTGATTAAAATGTTCAGTATTTTTTAATTTTTGAAATAACTTTTGATAGGCTGATAATAATGCTGTTAATAGTACGGACGATAGTGCTATTAATGACACTGATGATAGTGATGTTGATGACATTGATGATGGTGCTGTTAATATTGCTGACAGTTTTAGTGCTAGTCCTAACAATGTTGATTCTGACTATGATGAGGACTGTGATAGTTTAGTACCACATTTAAAACAAATTACATCTGCTGTGTACAGTTATTGTGGTACTGAAATTTTAGCTTCTTATAGTGAAGACGATATTTATCTATTCGATGCTTATGGTCGATCGAATTCTGTATTACGCAATTATGGTGGCCATATAAATAGAATGACAGGTATATAGTTTTATTTACTTTTAGTATCAGTATAATGTTTGTGTTTTCTCTCTGGCCCACACATAACAGAGACAAAATGTTGTGTAAAATATTTTTTTTCATGTTATCGAGTGATTTTACTCAAAAATTCCTCAAGAATTATATGGAATCATATTTTTGAGGGTATGGTATATTGGTATATCAATTTGTCTAAATATTGTCTCAAAACAATTAAATACCCATTAAATTTACAAAAAAAATTTTATTTTTAAAGTCAAATATTAATTAAATATAAAACCAATATGTTAAACCCTCAAAAACAGTATCTTCTGTAATTTTTTTAATAGTTGAATAGATATAGATTAAAAAAAAACAATTTTACATTAATGCATATTATTTGTGTTATGTGTGGATCTGAGGTTGTTCTCTATCAATTGTGATGATATCCAAAAAGCGATGATTTTTATTAATCTAGTTTTATTTATATAATACATGTCTCTTTTATTTACAGCTTTTCTCTTTATCGTTTTAGTAGACACTGTTATTATATAGATACTTCAGAAAATATTATTTTTACATACATTACCAAAATATAATATATTTTGGTTCTAGTCAAAGGTGTCAATTTCTATGGACCGAGAAGTGATTATGTGGTATCTGGATCAGACTGTGGATTTATATTTATATGGGATAAAAAAACTGAAGCTATTGTCCAAAAAAAACGTGCTGATAAAAGTGGATGTGTAAGTTTGATGTTTTTATCTTAAAATTATATTCCTTCTCATATTTTTTTGTTTATAGATCAATGTATTAGAACCACATCCACATATGCCAACTCTAGCAACTAGTGGCTTAGATAGATCTATTAAAATATGGGAACCTTTAAATGAATCTCAAGAGCCAAATAAAAAAAAGCTCAGATTGGTAATTTGATGTACCTATAGAGGGTGTAACGAGAAGTCCTGACCAATGAATTAATTTTGGTTAATCAATATTTTAATTTTTTTGTTATATCCTTTATTTAAAAAATACTCGTGCTAACTAAAAATAAAACAATTAAAATAGCCAATTTGTAAATCTGGGTTTTAGAAAAATGTTGATTGTAAGAATATTTATATAAGTCATATAGTTTGTTTTTAACAATTGTTTGAAATCTCATTATCTATGTTAAGTAAATTTGATTCAGCATTATAAACCATTTTAAATTCAAAAAGTATAAACTTTTAAAAATAGGTTTTTTGTTTTTAAGTTTCGACAACTGAGGCCATTAGCTGTAGGTTGTGGTACTGTAGGGTTATGGAACACGTGTGTGTTTGTTTGGCAGAATTTCTAGTGGGCTCCGGTAGATTTCTGCCATGTCAGGTTGGAGGATGGCGGCCTCTCTCCGGACACCGTGACTGCCCGGAGAGAAGTGCCGCCCGTGACCGAGGTTTGAACCGGCGATGGTGCGTGTTGCAGCCGACACGTTACCCACTCGGCCACTCCCCCCCCCCCCAAAAATAGTTTATAAGATATTTTATTGGAAAAAAATGCTTTTGTTAAAATCTAAATATTTCAAATTAATGATTATTACTTCAAAAAAAATTAAACATTTTTAAAAATCATAAAAATCAAACCATTTAACTTAGATAAATGTTTTTACAATCGATAGATCTCTAAAAACCAGATTTACCAATTGGCTATTTTAAAATTTTAAAAAAATTATTGGTATATGTGTATCACCTGAGTCAATAAATATATATATAGAAAAATATTGATTTTAATAAAAGTTATTTCATTAGTTAGATCATCCTGTTAGACCCTGTATGTTAAGTATTTTAATAAACATTTCTTTACTATTTAAATAATTAAAAATCTTATACTTTAGTGTTAGTTTTAGTTGTCATAATCTAACAGTAAGGTTCATTCATACTGAAAAAGGTCCATTGTGTACCCTTTTGACAGGTATAGTACCTAAGGTCAAAACTCACTTGGCCAAATACCATATTTCATATTCATTATTTCATATTTAACCATCATGAAGTACTGAAATTACTTGGAATTTGATGTTCACCTACTTTTTAATTAAAATGATATTGCATTATTTTTTTAGATAATATGTACTATATAATATATAGGATAAGTGATGATAAGGCATTAAATATTTATTTTATAAAATCAATTTTATTTATCTATAAATCAATTTAAAATTCACCTAAAAAAAAGCCACTTACTTTTAATGTTTTTTTATTTTTCAATTATTTATTTTATTTTTTAATTTAATTAATATGCATAAATATAATTTATAAACTATCATACTAGCTCATATTGATGGTCATGAATCATGATGGACCCTTAAATTCTAATTTTTTACTTGTATTACACATTTATAAATTTATTGCAGTTTGAAAATTAAAATATTACCACATAATATCTTTCTATACAGCATAATGGTATATATCAGCCATTATTACATTTTCAACATTATATTTATTACTAATTTAACAATCAGTTAGTTAATTCTAATTGTATTTCATTTATTTGTTCAATACCCATATATTGATGTTGGCGAACAGTCATGTCGCTCAATACATCAAAAAATTTGATGATGCGATTGTAGAGGCTTAAAACTGTACATTTAATATTATTTTCTAACCACAATGACATTTTCAAAATATTAAGACTGATTTTAATTTATACAACAAACCTATTGATACTGTTCAACACACATGGTTGGTGGTTTATGGTTTATGGTTTGATAAAAACACTTAATTATGTGAGGCATGGATTCGTCACCAAGAACCTGAGTGGTCATCTATCTGGGAGCCAGCAATACCAGGCAATGCTTGACAATTTGACATCAGTGCACATACTGACTGCAGCCAACCACCGCTCCACACCACACTCCAATATTTTTAATTTTATATTATTTTATATCTTGATTATATAAGTTTTTATTCTAATATGTAAAGGCACATAATATACATGTTCTCCATTTTAAACAGGAGAACTCCCTCTTGATTACACTACTCATTAATATAAAATCTTAAAATATTTGGAACAAACAATATAAAAAAATATAATTATGAAAAACACATTTTATTTATTATAGGTATTTATATTTAATTTTTAATTTATATACAGTGAAACCTCTGAATAGGGGATACTCTCAGTATCTCAGTAAATTTTGTCCGCTATTTAGAGAAAAACATTTTTTTTAATAAATAAATAAATTCAATAATTTTATTTTATATTATTTTTACATTAATTAAATACACGATAAAACTAACATTTATGAAAAAAACCAGCTATCTACATTTTTATTTTATTTTTGCATTAATTAAATACATTTAAAAAACATAAAAACTAACATTTCTGAAAAAAATCTGTTACTTTAGTCTGTTTACTAATTGCAGGTGTAGTTATTTTGTATGTTAAGGCATTTTCTAATTGAACTGTAAGAACAATGAACTATTCTGTACTTCGATAGAAGATATATATTTACGTATGCCTTTCACTGCTAGCAATGCCTCTCGTAGACTTCTTATTTTTTTATTTATTCTTCTTTATTTGCTATAATATCCGCAATTTGTGTTTTACTAACACTAAATTTGTCTGCTAATGCACGAATGCCCATATTTGTATTTGATGTTCGAAATTACAGAATGTCTATTTTTTTTTTTAGAGTTAATCGTTTTCTTTTGCTGGCCATAGTGCACTACAATAAGCGTTTGTATATTGGCATCTCAAACACAACGAAACGCACATAGGACAACGCATTAGTTACAATATTTTGTTGACGCCATAATATTTCAATGACTGAACGGATAAGATAAAGTTTTCATGTACAGTATAATAATGTACACATAAGATAACTTAATTATTGAGGTTTTCATTCAGATATTCAAAAATAATTCTTAATTTAAGATAAAAATTATTAATATCAATGTCATAAAAGTGTCCTTTATTTAGAATTTCCTGTATTCAGAGGTTTTCCTATTCTTAAGTAGTGAAAATGTCCCCGTCCCCGAAAAAACGTCTGCTAAAATGTCTGCCGAAAAATGACTAGTTAAGTAACTACTCTGCTGTTCAGTAGGTTAGTATTGTCATTGAGTTATTTAGATCACTGTAATGGATATGCTAAATTTGAATTAAATTCAATGAATCATTGCATACAAAAATAATTCTAAGTGGACAGCTGTCAGAGCCCATATTACTAAGTACATTTTATTATACATTTATATGGTCTAATAGTAATGCAGATAGTTGATTAATTTTTACCTAAAATTCTTTATTATATCATTAAACAATAATCATTATACAAGTATATATTATTGTTATTAACTTTCGCAGCAATAGAACGGTGTTTATAGGTTTGTGGTTTAAATAGTTAACAGCTAAAATTAATCTAAATAATAAGAAAATGTCATTGTTTATAGTAAAATATAATATAGGTAATATATAAACATAGAAAAGTTTCAAGTTCCCACCAATCATAATTTAAAGTAATAACAAAAATTACTAAGGTTGATATATATTTAAATATTCAATTTCAAACAAATTCCAGCTTCAAATGGCTATTAAAATAATTGAGATTTAAGATGATAAATTTTTTAGATTTTCGGTTTTCAGTTAGAACTACTTATGAGAAACCTGTTTATAAGATTTAAACTTTAGCAATAAAAATTAAACTTTTATACATTCTTAATTAAATAACTACATAATAGTAGAACATTTTTGCGATTTTGACAGAAGAACTTCTGCAATGAGGTATCATCTGTTTAAGTATTATTTTATGCTTATTATTTGAAATTTTATTTTTAATTTTTGAAAGAATATCCCAAAACTAAGCCCAAATATTGAATAATATTGTATGCAAGTTAAAGTAAAATGTTACGATGCAAATGTTGTCAAGATTTGATCTTCAAACAATTTAAACGCTTTAAAAAAAAAAAAATATTGAGTATAATAATTTATATTTATAGACTACAGTTAGTATAATAATATACCCATAGTAATTTAATTGTTCAATATTCTAATTTCATTATCATAAGTTTGCAAATTAAAAAAAAAACTAATTATAAATCAAACGTACCCTAAACTTAAATGTAAATAGGTAAATATCGATGAAGGATAGTTTTTATAGAAAAACTTATAAAATACTTTTAGGCTAAATTACTTTTATTATTATTATTTTGTGATGATAAAGTTGTACCTAAGCACAACATGGATGTATGATTTAATAATTTATGGCCATGAATAGTTTGATTAAGAGCCCACCCCATTAGTTAACTAGGAATGGATGGATCAGTTATCTGTTATGATTAATTTTTCTTTAAAGTGTAGTAATTGCAATTTGCAAAAACCGGTTAAATTATTATATTACAAGTGTTTTGATTCACAACACTAAGTACTTACATAATATAAGTTGTAATTTCTTTTGTCAAGTAACCAATAATTAATACTTGTTAAAGTTCTTAGGTTAATACTAGTTACCCTATAGGCTATAGCGTGGTTAAGAAGAAGTATTAAAAAAAAATAAAAAATTACTCATGGCACTTCAATTCTTATCTTAGATAAAATGTTCTATGCTTAATTCATTTTTTTTATACAAACATTTTTAAGCTTAATTTATTTTAAAATACACGACTTTTAAACAAACGTGTAGCCAAGATTTTTAGCCAGGAGTGTTTTAATTTAATATTTTAACACAATTTGGGGAGAAGGTGGAGACTGTTCACTTATCTAATATACCTTCCCCTATTGCTAAGTCCAACATGTAAACTATTGTTTCAATTTTTAACTGAAATTTAGAATTAGTTTCATTAATGTAATTTTCTTTTATAGTGTGTTGCTAAAAATATATATGAGAGAGAACTTGAAATAAGTGAACACTGAAGTCATGTGGATAATGTGAGTTCCATATATTTTCATACCTCTTTTCATAAGTATTGAAAACTAGTGAAACAAAAATTTAAAAAAGGATTGTTGAGTTATTAAAATAGATTAAAAATATATATAGAATAAAAACTTCTATTCTAATACATAAATTTATCTAAACTGAAAAAAAATGTACTTAAATATAATAATTATTAGAGTTCAGATTTCAATGAATCTGCATCTTTTTTTTTTAAACGCATGACATGAAACTTTTCAAGTCACAAGTTATATGTCTAATGCATCACAGTAAAACAATATTCAATATTTTAATTTAATATTCAAATTATTTTTTTAATTTTTTTTTTTTATGAGCATGTTTTATGCCATTTTTGATCTTTTTCTTGAAATATAACAAAAACATCATATTTGCTTTAAAATTAAAAAAATGTCATATTTTTGTGCTATAAAATAACATGTCGTGATCTGATCTTTTATTTAAATTTTAAATTTTATTAGGTTTCAATAATGATGCAGTTTCCGCTTCCGCAAGTTGACATTTAGTAAGTTTACAATAATATGATATTCTCGTAATATACATGATAGCATTTTGATAACATAATATTTTAACGAGTTTATATTGAAGCACTTAATTGAGAAATCTGATCTTAAAATAATAAAACTTGGATTTATCTCAATGGCCACGTCGTCCAATAACCCCACTGGTCTACTACATATAGCATACATACATTACATTTTTTAAATTATTTTATTTTACTATCAAAATTAAATTAAATTGGTGCATTTTTTGGAGATTTTAACTGTAAATATATGTATATTTTTTAAATTACATATTTGCATTGTTATTGTATTATTAGTGCCTGGAAGTCGTAAGTATTATGAAGCTTCCTCAAGACAGATAGGCACATTAAACATGGACTAATATTAATTTCCTTGGCCACTAAATATATACAATGCTTTTGGTATAATATGAATGTTCCTTATGTTAAAAATATGAATACACAAATTATAACCTAATTAAAACCTCTTTTGATACATGATAAATGTTTAAATAGAATGTGATATAAGCCTTTTTTTTCTTAATGATATTTGGTAGTTGATTTTATATTTATGATGAATTTTAAAATGTAATTTCAGATGAGTTACTAGACTGGTAGTCGCTCGTCATCCAGATACAGAGTATTTAAAGGATTATGTATGAATACAAAAATATCAATACTACATAATTTTTGTCCATGTTTTTTATTTTTATTTGTTTTTCTCATTGTAAAATATGTACGATATAAAGTAATAGTTATAAGAATACAAAAATTAAGTTTGTGTTTATTTGTATAATTATTTTTAAATTTTCTTTAATACATTCCAATTAATGTTGAAAGTCTAGTGTAATATTTTAACATCACTAAACCTAAAATAATAGTGTAAACTCCTTTGATAGCGATTATAGACCAGGGATCAATTAAAAGCCAAGCAGCGAGAGAGTCTATAACCACTGAACGGTAAACAGACAGTAAGAGAAGAATGCTGACAGCAACAAATGGTGAACATTTTGATTGTAGTTTATTTAAGTCATGTCTGGACCATAACCAAACTAATGCAGCAGTCATTATGTGATGCATCTAAAAATAATTACACACAATTAACATTTTACATAATATTATTTATTATTTACAAGTTCATTAATAATACAAAAACTTTACAATATGTATTTATATATAGTGTTATTCCTTTTACAGGGAACTTCAATAATTCTGTCCAGTGACATTGGATTGAAGTAAAGTGTTTTTAAATAGTTAGAGACTATTGAAATAAACATTTTTTTTACAATTTTCAAATGTTTAACCCTTTTATTGTGCGCATGTGTAATACTACAGCTTGCATTTTTAAAAAAATATCAACAACTAATTTCAACAACAGATTTGGATACAACAGAATTTGTTAAGTCAATCTGGTACTTTTTTACTTAAGCTCTACAACCAAAATTGACTAAATGAAGAGTTAAAGTTTTAATTAAAATTATTGAATTCTTCAACAATCCTAGAATTTTAAAAATTATCATAATTAACATCCCACTTTGATCCAGTGTCGCTGGACAGAATTATTAAGTGTTACCTTTAAAAGGAATCACACTGTATAACTTTAATATTAAAATTGATAGTTGATTCATTGACAGCAAAATAAGGCTCATTTTTGATTAACCTTAATTTTCATAAACTTTTAAACTTAGTTACTATTTTAAGTTTCTTACCAAATTTATATTAGATTCTAAACATTTTTGTGTGTACTTCCAATCAAATTCAGTGCCTCTTGCACCTACCCATAAGAGTAGAAATCGTGTCAATAATATTTCAGCACCTGCCCAGCCAATGCCAGCCGTCATTACCTTGGCATGTCCCTTGCCAGGTATGCTTTGCAATATAAAATATATTCCAGCGATATCTGCTAGATCAACGGAGCTTTTGAAAAAATTCTAAAAAAAATGTATCTATGTGTTTTATGGCGTAAAATGACAATCAATTAAAATTAGTATGTAAAATAACAAATGTTATTAAATGGGGCTTTAATACATTTATTAGTTGTATGTCATTACCGATAGACTCAAAGTGGTTATAGACGCCTCGTTGGCCGGAAAGAATGTTGCTAAAATTAACATCTTGCACAGTTGAGTAAACGCATAGATAATGCCACCTTGTATGCACTTCCAAAATGCTCCATATTCAGATCTGGAAAAGAAATTGAATGAAAACTTCCAGCAACAGATGCATAAAATCTCGTTTACTCACAGATTTGCGTATTTGTACGTTAAATAGTGTGGCACGTACAGTAAAGTGACACAATTACCAAAATGATACAAAGTCATTTTAGGTAAAATAAATAGATTTGCAAATTATGAAATTAATACAAAAATCCCAAGAACCGAGTATTTATCTAAAATTCATACATCAAAAACTGTGAAAAGAATAAATCTAACCGGCGACCACCAATCAAGTAATTATTGTTAGGAGGTCGGGGATTTAAGTCCTATGTATATAATATGGTGTATGGGTGTTTACGTTTAATAGATAATTCTACCACAGAATATATATGAACATAAGCAGTCCTGTTTTGTTTTTAAATAATCTGTGGTGATACTACGGTGATAATATTATCAGGGATACAATAATCAACATAGATTATTATATAATAGGATTTTTAAAATTAAATGTTACCTATAGTAATAGTTAGATATTTAAATTTTGAAATTTTGAAATTTTGAATATCTCATTATCTCGTAGTCGTAATAAAGTCTAAAGAATTAAAATATCAAAAATTGTTCTGTGTAAATGTGATTAAGTTGTAGTTTTAGTTAAAAATCAAGTGATATCCAATGAATGGGAAAAATGACTAATATATTAGTTGTTTGATTTTTATTCGAATTTCGTATTGAAAAGTAATATTTCTACGTTTATTAACGATATTGACACCGGTGGATAGTAAGTATGAATGAATTGGATTACGAGAAGAGTAAAAACTATTGGTCCAATGTCCCTGCTTCGGTGAATGGCATGCTTGGTGGATTCTCCAGTTTGACAAATAAGGATATTAAAGATTCTGACCTCTTCCTCAGAAAATTGTTCCAAATGAAAGACGGTCCGTCCAATGGTCGAGCATTAGACTGTGGTGCTGGCATCGGCAGGATAACTGAAAACCTTTTGTGCAAACACTTTAAATGTGTTGATATACTAGAACAGGACGAAAAGTTTTTGGAGAAAGCCAAACTGAAATGTCGAGGGGCTAATGTAGAAAACTTTTATTGTTCTGGTGAGTGTTAGACAATTTTGTTAATAAAGAAAGATTAAGAAATAAATAATAATGCCTACAATCATTTTGCTCAGGATTACAAGAATTCACGCCTACTGATGATCAAAAGTACGATGTTATATGGATCCAGTGGGTTCTCGGTTACATTACCGATGATGATTTGGTTGATTTCTTGAAAAAGTGTAGGTAAGAAAAACAATAATTTTTTTTAAAATTTAAAGTAACTGAGAAATTGTAGCTTGTTCTCACATCTTATGTTTTTGGCTCAAGTAATACCTAATTGTGTTTGATTTTTGTCTTAGTAAATTGTTAAATTCAAATGGCATTATAGTTGTTAAAGAAAACATTTCTCAAGATGATAAAGGAGAAATAGATTCAGAAGACAGCTCAATAACGAGGAGCTTCATACAGTTTTGCATTGTATTTCAGCGGGCAAATTTAATATGTAAAGCAAGCAGAACACAAAAAAATTTTCCATCAGAGCTATACAAAGTTGAAATGTTTGCGCTACAACCAGCTGATGAAAAATCAATTTCCTGATAAATATATATTATACATTTATACATGTACAAGTATAATACTCGCATAATATATAATTCAATATCCTTTCAGTCTTTTCACTGGTTATTATTAATTAAACTTGTGTGTGTGGACAGAACAGAGTATTTGCATATATTTTTAATTTTTTACTAATCATTTATTCAGATCACTAGTGATATGATTCTAATCATCCATTCATCTAGTCATGTAATATTTTTATTGGCAAGTGCCGAAGTATATTTTCATGTTTATGGATTCAGGGGTTCTATTGTTTTGTGTTGGTACTTGACAAATTTGTGCATCACATTAAAAAAGGTTATATACCACTTATATCTATATTTGTGTAAATTTGTGTATTGACTTTTGTGCAAAAATTAAATACAATTATTTGTCAACTCAACCTCACACATTTGTATAGTATTTTTATTATTATCATATTTGTAATGACTTATGGTAAATTTCAATTTGTTAATTCATAAAAAGTAATACCAACATTTTGTAATTGTTGATTTAATTATTTTTTATCTGTATAATATAATTAATTTCATGCAAATAAAATGTTTTATTCTTTTTAAAAAATACATTCATTATTCATATTTGATATTTATGATTACTTCTTAAAATCAATGTATAAATAATATTAATTGAACTGACCCATTAAGTTTTCCCAAATAGTTCAAATTTATTTATTTATCTTTACTAATGGATAGAGCCCTATAAAAAATGTATTTATAACACTAACCAAAGTTGTTGGGTTCGCTTAATAGTTTAATTAGAAAGTTATCAGTAGTAGCTATAATTAATAAATTTTTAGAAATAAAATAATATACACATTGATGAACAAATATATAAGGATTGGAATTTCATTCTACTTTCAAGTTAATGAGTAATGACTATAATACACATGTTGATGTACAATCTATCTTTGGAGTATTGGACTTAAAGTATGAAAATGTAGACTAAAAAATACACATGAGGGTGCTGGGGGTTAAATCCTCCTCTCCCTTAACCATTTTATGTTGGTTAATTTAAAAGTATTTTTGTCCATTCCCCAACATTAATGCACCAAATCTGCCACTGCAAGTCTGGTCCTAAATTATGTATTTAGCTGAAACACAAAATAGATCTAATATATTCTGGAGCTGACACTGAACATTAATTCACTTAGGAGTAAAGAGAATTGTCAAAGCATTCTCTATACAAGCAAAAATATTATTAGAACCATTATATCCATCAGTAATGACTTTTTTTTTATAACTTCTTTAGGTACATGAAGATTTAGACGAGAATATTTACATATATTATTGATTGAACTAACCCACTCTGTGACTTTAATCCAGCATTGTACCATACAATATACTTAAAACAATTTAATTAATTAATAGAGAACTACTGATGTCTTAGTTTGTGATTAAAACTAAAATGCAATGTTTTGTAGAACGGAAAAACTATTTAAATATTTGTCTTCATTTTCTCATTGTATTACTATAAATATAGATTATAAAAACGTCCTTTGTAATAATAAAAAAAACCATTCTTTTATGTTATCAATGTAACTAAAAAACATTTTATGCATTATTTGTAAGTAGACAGATTGTTAAGATTAAAGTGCTAACAAAAAATAGGTTAAAATCACCTCATTAAATTATCAATCAAATTCAAGTATAATAAATATAGGTAACTTGGTTTAAATATAAGTCTTACTATATTGGTTATACCACTAATATTTTGTTCTAAAAGCAATTTCACACGGCATCATGATTTCCGAAAAATAACCTTTTCCTTACTAAAACTTTTAATGTGTTGAAGTTATTCAAGTGTCCATATTGATATTATTAAATGGTCAGTGGCGAGGACTAGTATAAAATATCCAAGGAGTAGGATTGGATTCTACTCTTTTTTATTATATGAAATATACCACGGGAATATTGTAGTATTCCCTAGATTCACGGCACTGAGTTCATATCAGGAAACCCTGGTTCACAGGGCAGTTTGAAGCTGCCTTAAGGCCTCAATGACTTAGATTTTCTGCAAGACTGCCAGCTATAGATGCATGTTCCAATATGATAAGGTGTCACTTGGGGATACACAGAACACAGCAGTAATTATGAGAGGTATAAATGAAAGACATGTTTATCAAACATAATTTTTTAAATTTTTTTTATTTAAGGTCAGTATAACAGAACTTAAGCTTTAACTGCGTACACCCTAGGGGGGAACTTGTTCTTCTTCTTAATTTCTTTCATTGTCTTAACACTAAGTTCCTTCTTGGTCAATGCACGCCTCTTTGCCCTGGTAAGTTTTGGCCTCAAATCCAAAGGCTTGTACTTACGGTTCTGCAAAAAAAAAAATTGATTTATAAATACGACTAAAAAAGTATCATAAATATTCATTGCTCAAAAATTAATTATTACCTATACAGAAAAGGGCAAATTCCAATAGTAGATTATCAACCGGTTTAAATTCAAAAGATAGGAAGAAAAGCTTTAGATTACAAAGCTAATGTTTATTAAATTGCAATATGATTTTACTCAAAGTTTAGCAGAAATATTTTACAAAAAACCTAAGTTTATACATTTACAATGTAGAAGACATTTTCCAGTAAAATTCAAAATGCCATAAAAAGTACTTATAATAATAAATAAATACTATATAAAAGTTAGTAAACTCTGTTCAAAAAAAGATCATTATCCAGAGGCGGTTAGACATTTCTCCTACCAAGGCGATGAGCAAGATCAGTTGCTTTGGAACAAAGCCATGCCCATACGCACAACTCAGTCGCCGGGTAATGTTTTTATGTCATAACTGTTGTCAGGCTCTACTCTATTATAAGCATATACTACAGTTGGATAAATGATAAATTATTCCCCAATAGTCTGCCATCTCCGATACGGGTCTATAGGACGCATCATGTAAGTAGTCACTAGATTGCAATGCGCTTTGTGGTCATTTCTCAGAAAGGGTTTTTGCTGATGGTAAAAGAAGTGCGGCTGTATCAACAGTAACTTTTTAAGAGTAAAGTTTAAAACGGTTTTTTAAAAATTTGTGAAAGCGCGTGCAATCGGGTGACTTGATTCATGCAGCACACTGAAGTTACTTTATTTTCAAAGGCCCATTATCATTATTTGACTATCAAACTACTCCATAAATCATTCAAATAATTTAGAACATTGAATGAATAGACCAATTATTTGACAATGGCATGCAAGTATAGGACTTATGGTAACGTGTTGATAGACTGGTTATTATTATTGCTTTAACAGAAATATAAAAATGAAAAAAATGGAATTATTTTCTATTGTATATTTTGACCTAGTTTTCCATAAAAAATCTACTGCTGTATCTAGCAGTAATTTAAAATTGATGTTAATATTAAGAGGAACTTTCAGAAAATACTAAATATAGACTATCTTTTAAATTCTAATCAAAGAAATAATTATAAAAATTAAAACTGGTATGAAAGAGTAAATTGATCATACACTGTAGAATTATATACATATTTTTCTTCTAAATTACGACATAGAAGGAAATCTAGTATTTTAATTATCTTAATAGTACCAACACAACGTCTTTATCATGCAAAGGCATACATTTAAAAATTTAATTTATAAAAACTTAGCAATACATTTAAATATTAAAACATACCTTGAAGATTTTTCGTAGTGCTTCCTTTTGTTTTTGATGGATTACGACATAACAACGTAGAATTGCTTTGCGGACAACACGACTAAAAACCAAGACAATTTGTTAGTTCTAAATTATATAAATTATGAAATAATAATATTACATTTCGGAACAATTTATATAGAGTTGAATATTATTCAATAATTGGAAACATTTCCAACGTGAATTATAAAATATATTAATGATAATGCTAATGCTTACATCCGGGAAAGTTTAGACGCGGTACCTCCAGTAACTTTTGAAACCCTCAAATTGGCCAATTCCTGTTTCAACTCTTCGAGTTGTTTCAATAGGGACTCCTTGTCTTTGAGACGTAAATCTGAGCACTTGACTTTCGTCTACGAAAAAAAAACAAAAATGTTTAGTACCAGTTTAAGATGAAATTTCAAAACGGTCGATGCACATTTCGTTTGGCAATAAATCGGATTTAATATTGGTGTAACTTAAATAGTAAAGCCATCAAAATAGAATAGGATTAAAAAGGATAAAACTTACCATTTTGTCGCGTTAGTTTACACAAAGTGCTACAACCGAATGAAAAGAGTGCCTGCTGGCTGCTAATAATTTTTGTGTTTACTTGCGAGCGTCAAGATGTGAGCATAACCTAAAAGGTCATGGAAAAATGTCATTTGCATGGAACAGACGGTGTATGTTTCGATCGTTTTCGTTATCTCTTTTGATAAAAGTAAAAAATGAAAATAAAACAATTGCTCTCCACTCAAGGCATCAGACTTCTCTCGTATTTTTTTTTGTACTTTTACTAATATATTTTAGAATATTCATTTAATTGTTATGCAATTTTTATAATGCTTTGCCATACGTAATGTACTCAAAACGTAATTTCTTATTTAGTGTTTATCATTAGTGAATATAAGGGCGTACTGACCTAACGCCGATTAACTTTGTACGGGTAACAAAATCAACGACAGTTGTCGAATATTCGTAAAAGACACTATGTGAACGTTTTTCTTTTGATTATTTATTTCAGCACGAATCAAATGGATATCGCACTAACTGAAGCGATGAAAAATATAGTTCCTAAAGGACTTCCGGCTGACATTAATTCGGCGTTTAGCGGCTATGTGACGGAAAAACTGTACATGTTGCTCCAACTGTATCTACAAAATAAAGGATGGAACAGCATTGAATTGTTGAAAATATTCTCTGAAATGAAAGATTCATCTGTACTACCTAGCGCTTCCTACTTGCAGTAAGCCAACTTTTTGTTTTTGATTATTCCTTTGTGTTGATTTTGTGCATTCTAATTTTAACTCATGAATACTTGAAACTTACACTACTTATTACTCACTTCTTACATAGTAAATACTTCATATTAACATAAGTCAATTAATTTCCATTGAATGGTATTTAAGACAAAAATTACACTTTTTGGCCAAGTAAAGTATTCCTAACTTCTAACTAGTTTTTCTAGTACAAAAATTGAATTTTTCTTCCTCATAAGCCAATATTGGCAATCAACACAAGCTTGAACATAATCCTTAACATTGCAACTGGAAATTTTTATCAGACAAATAATATAACATCCAAAAATATTAGTGTACTTCTCAGGTATCCTTAAATGTGATGTAACCAATAATAGTTGGTTACTTAAAGTAACCCACTTATTCCTTTACTTTGATAAGTGATCAAATATATGGTACATTTTTGAAATTTTATTTTCAATTAGAATTACATGGTATTTAAATTTTTCAAACCTATACGTTAAACTAACTAAAAGCTTGATTTTAACAAAAAGATAATTTATCCATTCCAATAATATTCAGTTATTGAGGGTTATATACTTATGTCAGTTGGCCTTTCTACCGGGCAAAAATGTCATGTTATTTATCATGTCAATAGGTGTATAAATGTATAATATATTATATATTTCATCAATTATTATGTAATATGATAAAATAAATGTATTTTTATGCACATTAATTAGAATTACCATAGTTTTCCATACACAAGTATACATACATTTATATAATTATAAATGTTATAAACCATCAATATTTTTTTATTCAAATGAAATATTTCTTTTCAGAATGATGGCTTCGAGAGTGTCATTAGATAGCCAAGCAAGATTAATCCTTCGTGAGAATGGTAAAATTATTTTACCATATGAACATTTTGCAAATGCGGTAATGTTAAAGCATATGAATGGTCCACATGGTTTACATTTGGGTGTCGAGGGAACTGTTCGAGCGGTAATACAAGCTTATATTTAATAAGGAAAAAATATTAACAATAATATTGTGTATCCTGTTTTAGTATTATAATCTATTTTCTTTTAGACCACATTTGTAATTAATTTTAACCATTAATTAAGTTCATAAATATACTCTATCTGAAATAAGAGTAACCTCAAGCAGTAACTGATTACAGGTACCCATCAATTAAATTGTGTTTCTTTGACTTTTGTTTCTGATGATTGGTCACAGTTTTAAAATTGCCTTACTTTGTTAGTGTCAGCAAAATGCAAACTAGGCTGTTAGAACAATTAAATGACACATCCGAGAGTTTGGAATTCTGAACTTCCTAACCAAACCTTGTGAGATTAAGAATAATTGTTTAATTTTTATAAATTACGTTTGTACCTTTAATTTTATTTTCATTTTGCATTTTATTTTTTAGTGAACTGAATACATATTTCTAGCAATGTATCTAAAGTATGGTATACATTTATATGTATACCTGAACGGTGAACTTTTTTTATTATTTTTGTGTTATCTAATTCGTAGGTTATGGATTCATATACAATTGGTCGTGAGAACTTTGGTATGGAAAAAGAGTTTATTATTGAAGTTGTTCAAAACTGTCCAAACCCAGCATGTCGCTATTACAAGACTCAATTAGATTTATCTCAACATACTAAACAGTCAAATTATATGAACTCATCGAATTCTGGTAGGAAATTGTCATTTTAACAGTACATTGTTAATTCTTATGGTTTAATCAATTAGAATATTAATTATTAAATTGTATTTATAGGAATAAATATTCCAGTTGGTCGTGAAAGTCCAAGTATATCAATGAGTCAAATGATTAGTCAGCAATTAAGTGCTCATGGTTTGGCACCTTCTAGTACTCAACCCCAACAATCACATTCAGCTCCTGTTGATTTAACTGGACCATCTCCACATCCAGCTCCTGAAATACCGAATCCAATGCCTATACAGGTACCGCAGGTTCCAAAAACTGTAAGTGCTCGACAAGCACAGCACAATAAGTTGGCAGATTTTTTAAAGGCCAACCTTGAAAATCTAGACAATAAAGATCTAATGGCTGCTCATGACACAACTTGGCCTGAGGTTTCAGACAACCGTAAAGGTCATTTAGATGGTAAGAATGATAATAATTTTAATTCTAATTTTAATAATGTATGAATTAGAAGCCTGTTTTCTAGGCATGTTTAATATATAATTTGTATAGCCTAGTGTGAGTAATGTTTGCCTGGCCTAATTATTTGTTGTTTTATGAGGATACTCAAATTAAATTTATTCTTATAATATGCTGTTAATTGTGTATAGGTATTTTTTGTTAAGTTGTTGTCTTAAAATTTTAACAATTTAACATACTAAAACTTGCAAATAAAACATAATTTAATTGTATGACAACCAGTGGCGTATTTGAGAGTTCATCTGAGGGGGGGCGATTTTAAAAAGAATATTCCAAACCGGCAACCATTTACATAAACTTACCTAGACATAATTAATTTTATATTGTACCTGTATAATATAACCTATAAAGTAATAAGTTACTAATATGATAAAAAAACAACATATTTACAAAACAAAATCTATATTTCTTTTTTTTGTATTAGCAAATCTATTTATAACATCATCTACTGATATGGTTAAAGTATGGTGTATGTTTAGCAAAGCCAAACCAGTCAAGCGTTCTTGTCCCATTCTAGATCTTAACCAGGTTTTCAATCTAACAAAAAAAGCAACAAAAGTAAGCAAAGAGAAGAATTAAAAGTTTTTTTTAATGCAATTTAAGAAGAAAAACAGATCTTTAATTTTAAGCATTGTAAATATATATATATATATACTATTATATATATAGAATATATATAGTATTAGGTTGTAGGTATATAGTTAAAGTATTTTATAGAAACTAGCTAATTTTTATTCTAATAATTAACACATGCACCAAACCTTCTAAGCGTTGAAAAGCTGCGTTCTGCGGATGCTACACTAATAGGCAGACAAGCAATAATACTTATTAATTTATGCAAAGTTGGATAAATGATACTATTACAATTTTCCATTGATGACAAAGCATCTTGACAAATTTCATGACCTTAAACAAAATTATAAAACAATCAATACAGTTTTAAGAAAAGTATAATTACAAACATTTTTTACCATCAGTTTTTATTCGTTGCCATTTAGTTTTCCATAGATCTAGTTCTGTTTTTAGCTCGATTTGGTCAACAGATTCTTCTTCATTAAATACAAATAATTCTGTGGCAGCTTCTGTTATTTTTTTAAAATCGTCATTAGAAATGTCAGTAATGTAGCGTGGAATTAACAAACATAAATCTAATAACATCTTATTTTCTTTTCTTATGAATCTTGATCTTAAGTCTTCTAGGATATTTTCCAGTAATGGTATAAATAGTGATACTCTATAATACTCTTCATAATGTATGTACATTTTTATCTTTTGTTATCACTGATAACATTTTTCATAAATCATAATTTTATTTTTGTTTCTTAATAAAATACCTATTACTTGTACACAAATTTTCTTGGTCTAAAAACTCTCGGGAGGGGCGATTGCCCCCATCGCCCCCCCCCTCAAATACGCCACTGATGACAACCAGATATTTTGTATGAGGTATTAATTCCTTTTATTTAAGTTTTTACCGTGAATATAAAAATGCTATTATTATTAGGAACATTAAACCAACAGTTACTCACACATTCTTTTATTTGCTATATATGTACACAACCTGAGTTTTGTAATTTTGTTACGGGTTTTTAAATCCTTAAGTTTTGGTTACAGATGGGTTGTTGAAAAAAAACGTTATAAATAGCTTAACCAATGTTTTAACAACTTTTCTAAAAACAGGTTTTCAAACCATGGGTAACAGAATACGACATATCATGACTGTTTATTTTAAATTTCAGCTGGTCAAGAAAAAATTATCAGAGCATTTTCAGAAATAATGAAAAATATGAATAGAATGAAAGCATGCGTGAGACCAGCCATGTGTAAGCCTTATGGAAAACAATCAGAATCATTACAAAAAAGTAAAGTTTATTAAAAATAAAATACTGTTAATGTAGTTTTTCTTAACTAAATAAATATTTTAACTCAACAAATTAAATATTTTTGAAAAACCATACTCATAGAGTTTTCTGATTTAATTTACACCAGTATTTTTAAAATTTTAGTGTGCTATAATTTAAAAACTTTTTCAGCTTTGATTGATACAATTCAACTTGTTCAGTCACTAAGATCGTTTCTTCCTCCACCACATATTGCTGTTAGTAGCTGGAAAAATGAAGATAAGCATGGGTAACAATATAAAAATATTTTTATTGAATAATAATTAATAAGAAATGTAACTACATTTTAAAAATATTTCTAGATTAAGGAAAACTGTTTTAGACAATTCTAATCAAACAGTTTCAGCTGCCAATTTTAAAGATCTCTGTGACGCAATGTCTCGTAACAAGCAAAATTAAGAGCTTGTATTAAACTCGCAAAAAGTAAAAAATTTTCAACTATTTTTATCAACTTTCAAAAATCACGTTGCTTTTATTTTATTTTTACGTCTAGTCAAAATTCCCTTTTTTCCCCAAAATTAATGGGAATGTCTGTTTGTTTACTTGGAGGGATCTTACCATTTTATTAAAATTAAATCTTATTAATGTCTCCTTATGAGTGTCTTCTAGTTTGAGGTTTTTACCTATATTTATTTATTTTAAATTTAACATCTTGTTCAATTATTATAATTCAGCAACTATTAATTTATTTTTTGTATACATGTTGTCAGCATGATATCAAAGTGTATGTTGCCAAATGTTTATGTTTTGTTTAGTTTCAAAACATTTCATGCCATAATAGTAACCTAAGTATACATTAAAAAACTAATTCATTTTTTGATTACGATTACATAATTTACTAATTATCTAATTATTATAAGTAAACGCTTATTTTAATAATAATACATTGACTGTTTAATGTTTATGTTGTATCAATATTTTTTAAATTTATTTTAGTTGCCAATTAATTTAACCTGTAAGCACTTCCGCATTCATTTATTATCTCCCGAGTTTTTAATATTATTTTTTTGACAAGAAATATTTAGCTTTTAATTTAATTTGGTACCAAATTAGTAATTTATATTTACAGTAGTCTTACACAGGGTGCCCCATGAGGATATACCAATAAGCCATTGAGGTTAGGTCGAGGGGGCCTCGAAAAACCGGGTTTTTGACAATTTAACTTTAAACTAAAAAAATGATTAAGACTCATGAAATTGATGAAAATAAAATTAATTTTTTAACTTTTTCACCAAAAAATTAAATATAAAGAGCCCTTGTATCTTTGGGACTAATAAAAAAAACAGATTTATGATATATTGGTTATCATAGGAGATATTTCAATGGTTAATATCCTGTATACACCTGGACACCCTGTATATATGCAATATTGTTTGAACTATTTTTAATTTTTGTATCTAAAGCTATGAATATATACATTCTTGTTTTAACCCTTTGAAGAATTTAATAGACAGCAATAATAATGATAGAGTTTTTGTTTCATAAGTAATAGTGGAATGTATAATNATGACAACCAGATATTTTGTATGAGGTATTAATTCCTTTTATTTAAGTTTTTACCGTGAATATAAAAATGCTATTATTATTAGGAACATTAAACCAACAGTTACTCACACATTCTTTTATTTGCTATATATGTACACAACCTGAGTTTTGTAATTTTGTTACGGGTTTTTAAATCCTTAAGTTTTGGTTACAGATGGGTTGTTGAAAAAAAACGTTATAAATAGCTTAACCAATGTTTTAACAACTTTTCTAAAAACAGGTTTTCAAACCATGGGTAACAGAATACGACATATCATGACTGTTTATTTTAAATTTCAGCTGGTCAAGAAAAAATTATCAGAGCATTTTCAGAAATAATGAAAAATATGAATAGAATGAAAGCATGCGTGAGACCAGCCATGTGTAAGCCTTATGGAAAACAATCAGAATCATTACAAAAAAGTAAAGTTTATTAAAAATAAAATACTGTTAATGTAGTTTTTCTTAACTAAATAAATATTTTAACTCAACAAATTAAATATTTTTGAAAAACCATACTCATAGAGTTTTATGATTTAATTTACACCAGTATTTTTAAAATTTTAGTGTGCTATAATTTAAAAACTTTTTCAGCTTTGATTGATACAATTCAACTTGTTCAGTCACTAAGATCGTTTCTTCCTCCACCACATATTGCTGTTAGTAGCTGGAAAAATGAAGATAAGCATGGGTAACAATATAAAAATATTTTTATTGAATAATAATTAATAAGAAATGTAACTACATTTTAAAAATATTTCTAGATTAAGGAAAACTGTTTTAGACAATTCTAATCAAACAGTTTCAGCTGCCAATTTTAAAGATCTCTGTGACGCAATGTCTCGTAACAAGCAAAATTAAGAGCTTGTATTAAACTCGCAAAAAGTAAAAAATTTTCAACTATTTTTATCAACTTTCAAAAATCACGTTGCTTTTATTTTATTTTTACGTCTAGTCAAAATTCCCTTTTTTCCCCAAAATTAATGGGAATGTCTGTTTGTTTACTTGGAGGGATCTTACCATTTTATTAAAATTAAATCTTATTAATGTCTCCTTATGAGTGTCTTCTAGTTTGAGGTTTTTACCTATATTTATTTATTTTAAATTTAACATCTTGTTCAATTATTATAATTCAGCAACTATTAATTTATTTTTTGTATACATGTTGTCAGCATGATATCAAAGTGTATGTTGCCAAATGTTTATGTTTTGTTTAGTTTCAAAACATTTCATGCCATAATAGTAACCTAAGTATACATTAAAAAACTAATTCATTTTTTGATTACGATTACATAATTTACTAATTATCTAATTATTATAAGTAAACGCTTATTTTAATAATAATACATTGACTGTTTAATGTTTATGTTGTATCAATATTTTTTAAATTTATTTTAGTTGCCAATTAATTTAACCTGTAAGCACTTCCGCATTCATTTATTATCTCCCGAGTTTTTAATATTATTTTTTTGACAAGAAATATTTAGCTTTTAATTTAATTTGGTACCAAATTAGTAATTTATATTTACAGTAGTCTTACACAGGGTGCCCCATGAGGATATACCAATAAGCCATTGAGGTTAGGTCGAGGGGGCCTCGAAAAACCGGGTTTTTGACAATTTAACTTTAAACTAAAAAAATGATTAAGACTCATGAAATTGATGAAAATAAAATTAATTTTTTAACTTTTTCACCAAAAAATTAAATATAAAGAGCCCTTGTATCTTTGGGACTAATAAAAAAAACAGATTTATGATATATTGGTTATCATAGGAGATATTTCAATGGTTAATATCCTGTATACACCTGGACACCCTGTATATATGCAATATTGTTTGAACTATTTTTAATTTTTGTATCTAAAGCTATGAATATATACATTCTTGTTTTAACCCTTTGAAGAATTTAATAGACAGCAATAATAATGATAGAGTTTTTGTTTCATAAGTAATAGTGGAATGTATAATCCCATATAAACCTCTTATGGATAAATATCACAAAAGTGTTAACTGGTTAAAACTATAAAATATTTTGAGTACATTCAACTCTTGGTAAATTAAACTTAAGCCTTTAAGGTAAGGAAACCAATTTAATTTATCAATAATTTCTTATTATCAAGGTTTAAGTTACTAAGGAGAATTTACTGTATTATTATTTTATTTAAAGAGCGCACTAATCTAAAAAAAAATTTTGGTTAGGAATGTTGTTATCTATTTTATTAGTACAGTTCAATTTGTTCTTAGAATAACTGTCATAAAATGTTTACTTGGTTCAACAAATGAAGTGGGTTATTCAATTTTCATACCTATTTCCATGACCTTTTAGACTAAATTGAAGGGAAATATATTACTTTATTTGCTGAATTTTAATATATACCTAAACATTTATAGTACGCTAGTCAACAATAACATCTTTCATACTAATTGGTGATCTTAAACTAGTTAATGATGCCTGTATGTTTGATTTGTATTATTATTAATTTTATATACATAATATACGTAAAATGGTATTTAAGTGTGAAAATGTAAAATTTTGCAAAATCACTTGAAATTATTATAATTTATTTTATTTTTATTTTTGTGTAATTTTTTTTTAATCATATCAATACTAAGTGTTTCAACATAGCTGTCTAAATCCTATATATTGTATAATATTAAAATAATTTCCGGTTACAAGCTCAATGATTGTTGATTGCTTAAACATTTAAAACATAGATTTAATTATCCTAATGTACTAAAGACATTTATATTATATAATTATAAATTGTTTTTGCTATATCCTTATATTCCACCATACATTTATTTTTAATAATTTAACCAAAACTTCTTTTCTCTTGGACTTAATTTGTGTTATTCGTTTGATCCTACACAATTAAATATCAAAACTCGATGTTTAAACAACAACATCATAATAGTTATTTTCTGTGAACATTTTTACATGTTTGTAACTTTACTATTTGGAAACATGGTACCCATGATTTATTTTTTTTTAATTGGCATGTTTCAGTTTGATTCTGTAATTGTATGGTTAAAATAAATGTTCATTGACTAAGAGAGTGGCAATTGTAAGTACAAATGTTTACATTGAGCTCCAAAATGAATATTTATTACTACCAACAGTATAATAGGTAAATGTGATTTGTGTGTTAAAATGTAATGTATTTTTATTACTATTATTTTACTAGTATGGTAATATTTTAGTTGTCTTTATTTGAAGAAAAAAACGTATCTGTGATCTTTCCTAATCCATTCTTTAATTTTTACCAAAATCCAAAATTTGATGCATAATTTTCGACATTATTTTCCTATTTGTGTAAAGCCGAAAGCGCATAATGTGTACTGCAGGGTCGTCCAAATTTCGTTCCACTAACTTGGTGGGGACTTCCATATTATAAGTTATTTAGGTTTTCATGCAATCCCTGCCAATTTCGTACCCGACATTTGGACGATGCCTTAGTGTCGTACGTATAAATTATTGCATAGGTATAATAGGTTATGTATTTGCGACATAATATTATGTAGTCTTAAGAAGTTTTATATCCGATGTATGAAAAAAAAATGTGTGTGATTAAATTTATTGTAGTCCATAACGTTATATTCAAAAAAAAAAATTAAACTTAATATTAAACATAAATAATTGTGTATTTTTTAAACCTTTCCAAAAATGAATTTTACCTGAAGACAATATTATTATACCCGTGGGTGAATTTGTTTATATCAAACTATAATACATTATGTACAGTGTAATTTTTTTTTATTAATATAAAAAAAAAATATTCAAAAACACATAAATTCACCGATTAAATTATTTTAATAATACGACAGATTATATAAAATTGTATATAATCTGTAGAAAGTACTGACATAGCGATAACAAGATAATCACTCTGTACAATTTTTGTTGAGTGATGCTATGCGTTCTCGACGACTTGCGACTGCGTCTTCGCTGACATCACGAAGACGGCGTCGTGCAGCCAATAGTAATCCTGGCTCAGGTCGCCCTCGCACAGGTACGGGAGTCTTGTCCAGCAAAGAACTTCCAGTCCGGACGGTTCGAACACGTCGTGCACCGCGGAACACACCTGTTCCTCGAATGTTATGCCAGTGATCGGCAACTTTTGTTCCGGTTCCGTGGAACCTGTTTACAATATAATACTAGATATAATATTATTATTAATTATTTCACTATCTCTATTATCCTTGTGGCGTAAGCCATATATATATATTAACTTATGATTAGAACACGGATTTGTATGCACTAAAAAGTATCACAATATTATGTTCATTAGTCATTATAAATTTAAATTTAAATTTCGTTTTAAGTGTGTACGATGTACCTGTATCATAAGTCATGCGATGGCTGCTATTCCTACTACTCTGACACCCCTTCTCGTATGCCTACAATAATCAACGCAGAGCATAATCTAATGACATACAATTAGAACTTTTCAAAATCCCACCTCGTTCACATTTAACGTCGTAATAAACCAAAAAGGATTCCCATCACATATATTATGAGTTATGACTTAAGAGTTAAGAGCGTAGAACTGTAGAAGAATATACGAATATTGTGATATGAGATGTCATCTTTTTCAATACCCAATCGATGTTGTTTTAATAAATTATAGAGGTAAGTATTATGATTATAATATTAGGTTTCAAGTAGATCTGTTGTAAGTATCTACTGAGGTGGACTGTACCAGGGTGCTATAAGTCAGGTAGCACCCCTGGCACTCATTTATTCTTATGATTCGGGCCCTTTCTTTAATTTAACTCTTGTTTTGTAACATAGAACTCTCACCAAATTTAAAAAATTGTAGATTGTGAATAAATTGTAAATTGTATAAGTTTAAAAAAAATATATGCGGGCCCCTAATTAATTTTACTTAGTACAAGAACCTAGGTAGGTATTGTTAAAAATTTATAATATAGACATATATTGTAAAGAGATCGACTCAAGCAGTGATGTAAAACCCAGTGGGTTCAACCCTCAGTCCACCCTCCCACCAGAAATTAAATCCTATATAGTATTTACACAACTGGGCTCGAGTAAATAAAATACTCATTTAGGTACTTAATACTTAAACTTTCACAATGCATGAACAATCATTAAAGACTCAACGAATCAATGGTAAGTTAATGGTCCCTTAAGCATGATTTAATGGCCCACGATTGGTTCATAATAATATTTTATTAAACCAATAAATCAACACATTTTTCATGCAATCATCCACTATTCATATTATTATTATTATTACAATAACAGGGTTGCTGTACTCACTGAATTCGTCGTAGGGTTTGTACGGCAACACCAGCGCCACGACGATCCTGCCATTGGGTTTCAAGGCTTTTTTCATTTCATCTAAGAGCTTTGCCGGATTGCTGCACCGGTCCAACAGGTTCAGACACGACACCACGTCGAATTTTTCTTCGCGAGTCCACCACGTGTCGACATCCAACAATCTGTTCACCACACATTCACACATTATTGTCATTATTACTTAGATTGTGCATAGATACAGCTAGGTATATACTACTTTAAATACATACTAATATTTATAGGTAGATCATATAGGTTCAAAAGGGAAAAAAAAAAGGTAGATCATATAGAAACAGACGTATGGAGTCATGGAGATCAATATAAATGTATGTATGTACTTATATAATACATATTTAAAAGGAGTAAGGACAATGTAAGGTACCTAATGGGCGAAGGCAATGCAATTGCTTATGTCAATAAATTATATGTATAGCACCTCCAGCAGCTGCTGGTTAATTCCAATGTTTTTATAATTACAGGTAAATAATAAATTTTAATTAATTGATAAGGTTTATTCGTACGAGTCGCAAGTGTAGGTAGGCAAGTATAGATAATAATAATAAACAACAAATATTTAATTTTTAACGAGTAAATAAATATTAATACGTTTTTTAGTGAGGCTTAATCTGCGGCAACGCTCTGACCGTACGTACCGGTACCGGCCGTCGTTGCTAGCACACGGATGGGTGACCACCCGGGTTTTTAGCAATACATCCTTGCCACAAATACAAACGTGTTCTGATCAACCGTTACCCTCCACACAGTACCAGGTTAATGACCTTAGTATTTTAAGTCTTAATCCAAATTAAAATAAAAAATGATGCATTTACATCAATAGTTTGAGAACATAATCAGAATGAATATGATAAATCGAATATTAATCACTAAATATTATGGTCAACACAGTATGTAAACGAAAATCTTTAGAAGATGTCCAGTATGCAAGAAAAAAAATTTATATTAAAATACATTTTTCACAACTCTCTGGGTAATGCTAAATGGTTTTATTAAGCTAATTTTGAGGTAACACTCCTCAAAATGTTGAACTTAAAACCACGGGGGTGAAAAAAATGCAATTATTTTTCTGTGAATAGAAGAAAGTCATGTTTGGGCGAAAAGAGTTGTGCCCCTTATCTCTACTACTTGAAAGAATTGTTGTCTTATAGTAAGGTTTAGGAAAGTACATAAATTTTGCACTCAACATCTTCATTTCACAGCTCCGATAAAAACAATAATATACATGGCACAGGCTTACATTGTATTGGGCTGCTATCGTTTTACACTGCTATATAAATATTTTTGTTTGAATTTAATTAACTGTTAAGATAACATAGTCTTATACAGTTATACTTTAACAACATACGTATGGAATAAATTTGTGTTTGAGAGTATGTGTGATTTGGAGGGAGAAGATTCTTAGAGATGCGAAAATGTCGCCATGTCGGCTTCAAAAATAATAAAATTGCTGTATATGAAAACTATTGAATATGACGTGTTACAACACTCTCCCCCACCATACCGCCGACATCTTTATGATGGCCGAGGGCTGTAGGTATTTATCCGCATTATATTATATTATATATAGATAGGTAGACTGCAGAGCAAAAGTTCACCTGAAACCCTTTTCAGCCAAAATCCGGATCATTGGCCCTGACTTTTCGGTTGTGTAGACCTCGCGGATCAGGGGCAAGTACTTTTCTGTGGTGGCCCCATCCCCGGCGCCCAAGTCGATCAGGGTCGAGCCACTGTCGAAAAATGTCATGTTCAGCAGTCGTCTGATCTGGTCGGTGGAAAACACGAACATGGATCCTCTCCGCAACAACCTGTAACATAATAAGCAGCGACAAGAGAAAATTAAAGAGACGCAGTGTAAAGTGTATACTGTATAGGCTTATTAGGCTCTGCAGTGTAGTACAGAGATCAAACCTTTTTTTTCGAGTACCACTCAGTCCACTCATGTGTATAAAATATAAACCTGGATTGGTACATGACCGTAAATGAATAAAAATTGCAATACATATTTAACAATAACAATATTGATGTAGGTACAGTATACAATATTTAGTACCCATCTATTTACACAATACATAACATAATATTAGATCCGTTGCAAACATAAGTAAACATATTAATTTATCAATATTACGTACTACACGTGGGCTTTCGAGTACCACAATTTGAGAATCGCTGCTATATTATATACTGTTACAACCTATTCACATCGTTATTGTTATATTTTAATAATTTTAATCATTACCCTTCATATAATATAATATACTCATTGCAGTGTATCTAGAGGATTTGACAATAGCTAGTTTAATTATTGTATTGCAACTGTCAAAACTTCTCCAGAAAAATTATTATGTTAAGGAAATAAAAGTGCAATACACTTCTTTCGACATATATATTTTACATATCTCATTACCTATATTATTATAATATGCAGAGCAGTGGAGTTACTAAAATTTGGACGGCGCCCATAATCTATATTTTTTTTCTATCGCTTTGTACTATTTTCTTTATTTGTTTTTTTACAAACGTCATCCACGCCCCGCCGTAGTGTAAATAATTGTCGTGCACAAAGTTAAATTCAACACCCTATATAATATATTATATAGTGTATATATATACGTCGACGACTTAAGCGCTCGAGGGATTTCTTTTTCGGTCGTTCTAAATAATGCCCCTCGGACCGGACGGACACCGCGTCATAAATAAAAACCCACTACACCTCCACCCATTCCGCACACGTACTTTGGTCTGAATGTTAAAAAAGAAAAGGCCAACTCGATAAACAACTAAAAAATTGATATTGCTTTGCTGTTGCGCGAGAAACGACGACGACGGGTCGCGGTGGAGGAGGGGCGCAGTAGGCGACCGCCGCAGACTTTTTCCACGACTGTTTGCAGAGGTTAAAACAAGTTTTATTATTTTATTTTTAGGAAATTCGCGCCATAAATGCTGTACGCAAGATATCTATAATATATTAAATATATTGTGTGTCGGCGGTCAAAAGAAAATCGAGTGATTTATAATAATATACAACTGCAACGTTTCATACGAAGTTTATACGCTATGAAATGCGACTCGAGCTGCTGTCGTGTCGCACAAATTTAATTAACGAAAACTTCGAAAAGTGTATACATTGACTATATAGCAATAAATTATAAATGTGTAGTTTGTTGTTTATGCGATTCGCTGAAAACAGTAAAGAGGGCACAAATGTGCTGGACTTTTTATTATAACTTTCCGCGTAAAACTTAGAATAGGTACGCATCAACTCCGAGAACGAGAAATTATACACGATAAGAATTAATAATGAAATAATTCACGGAACGTACCTACGGGTACATATTATATAATAATAATAATATTATAATTTTAGGGTAACGATAAGGACTAACGCGGAACTCTCCGAATCATACAATATGTATGTATTAGGTACTATGTGTGCAGAACAATGTACTTATCAAAATTAAATATTTTGTGTTAAAGAACGTAATTTTCAAAAACAAACACGTATAATGACACATTATTATATGACGTGCCCTTTTAAGTAGGTATGTGTTTGACTAGCGGTCAGTTCTTATTAGCAATCTAAATTCAAAACTGTCGACTGCGGCTCTTTAGGAATAGGTTCCAGAACTGCGTATAAGAATATATAACTATAATGCTTTAAAATGGTCAGTGTTATAGAGTGTATGAAAAATAATAATTTTAGATGAGACTCAAGCCCTATACATTCAAAATCTCATTTAAATGACTTATTAAGTGTATGCATAAAAATGACCTACACCTACGCTATAGTTATGTTATTATAACAATGTAAAAGCAATTATTATCCTGTGTTATACCATAAAGATTAAATCTTCTAAGCATAATATACTATTTAGTCTATGACTATACATATAACTGCTTTCGTGGTGACTGTCTCTTAAAACCGTCTCATGCATATCTGCAAAATTACAACTATTGTGTCATCACTAATCATGTATCATCGCGTGGACTCGCCTTAGAGTTGTACTCTATACAAAATTCGTATACAGCAGCTATCCCCCTCGCCTTATGTATACATATTGCATATGGAATATAGATACAATTACAGAATCGTTTAACAAGTTGAAAAACGAAATCGCCGAGATAATGTCTATTTCTCCGACTATCCCCAGTCTCTCTCACTTTTCAATAAAGAACGGAACTCAGAGATTTTGGTACTCGACTTTTGTACTTTCAAAGTTTACGAGACATATAATATATAAATATAGTAAACACTAGGTATTTTTGTTTTATATTGGGGTGCTTCCGTACAGGAAACGCGAGCACATCTCTCTCTCTGTATAATATGGAATTCCGAAACTAAAACTGGAGCCTTTGAATGTGCTTGTTTACGACGAGGAAGTATTTCAACTTAAACGTTTTCAGAGTTTTTGCGTAATAGTTACCTTTTTCGGTCCTGAGAAAAATGCACACTTTTATATTTTGAAACTCGTGTGTTGATTAATAATCTACGATTTAATTATATTGTGACGATTATCGTCGATGAACGTTATTGAAAATCGCGAGGTGACGGTATTACAGTTCAATGCAGGTTACTTTTTTATTAATTTATGAAAGAATATCGGACTAGAAACAATGTTGACATCACAGTGCATGTAAATATAGTGCAATTGTGTATATCTATATAGACATAATCCATAATAATGTATACTCTTATAGGAAATAATATTTAGTTATTTATTTTTTATTTCGTCTATGTATATGACTTCATCGTGAAAACACACAATCGTGTTCACCAACAATGTCTATTGGTTTCTTTTAAGAATTCGAAAGTAATGCAGCGGGGGTGCAGGGTGGGTGGCCAGCCGGGAAATCGTAGGCATATATATATATAACACTCGTATATATATATATGCGAGTGGAACTCAAAGTGGCAACTCGGATGTGCATTAATAGTGCGTCTATATAGGTATATCATACTACTGTATATATATATATATATATATATCCGGTCGGGCCGATTAATCGCCTGTCGCCCGTGTGTGCAAAACGGGGCAAAAGACGGCGGTATAGGAACCGGGAGTTAACGAGAGATCGATCGGTAGTTTCCTCTAGAGCGGCCTCACACACACACACACACGCACACGTCCCATATACTATATATTGTAGACACGCAAATAACACTATATTTACGTATTACGTGTACACACACACACACACGCTTGAGCTCGGGGAGGAAATTGTACGTATGTAGGTATAAGGAGTCTGGTATATATATATATATATATATATCTGTGTATAAATATGCGGAGACGTGCGCGCGCGTCAGGAGGATTCGCGAGAGAATAAGAGACCTGGCGAGAGGAGGCGGTAACGACGGCGGCGGCGGCGGCGGCGGCGGCGGCCAAAAAAGAATAATATTGTTCTTTCTACACGTATACGGATGCCCCCCCCCGCTCATACAGTCTTCGGGGTGCTCCGGGTTCGTTATTTCGCGTCGCGCGCATTTCCATATTATATACGCACATATATATATATATATATATACATAAACACACACACACATCCACATGCATACACAGCGTACACACATAATATATATATATGTAGGTATGGACGACGACGGAAGAAGAAAGGCGTAGAAGGGGGAAATAAATTACGAGCTTTGGTATCGGATGAGGGCCGGTGGGAGGGCGGGCAAAGTCGGCAGCGGGGTAGACAAAAAGGCGCTAACAAAAAAAAAAAAAAGAGAAAGATAGAAATAGAAAGAGAGACATAGAGAGAGAGAGAGCGGACAGGAAGAGAGAGAAAAAAGGTCGCATTTATCCGGAGAGGAGAACTATATAGTCGCTCCCCTCTCTCTCACTCTGCTCTTGCACCCCGTCGCTCTTATTCTACAGCAGCTCTTCATCTTGCGCGCGTTGTGTAGCTTTTTTATCCCCTCCGCTGCCGCTGCCACTGCCGACGAGACAAACGACGACGACTATACGACGGCAGCGGTTCAAAGGCCCGCAAATTGCCAATCAAGACGGTATATACCCGCCGAGCACAGATTCAAAGGCGTTTTATACATGTATGTTATTATTATTATTATTTTTTTTTGCTTATTTATTTACTTTTTTTCCTTTTTTTAGCCTATCAATATTCCCTAGTCGTTGCAGTCGACGATGCTACACGCTCCCGGCAGTATATATACATAGACGTCATCGCCGCCTGAGCCCGTTTTACATAATATAATATATATGTACCACCTATAGGCTATATTATATGTAGAAGGTCGTACATGCATAAAATATACATCCATCACTTTTAATCCACCGTCGTGCTGAATCGTGAAAATTAAGCGACAATATTTTCGGCATTTTATTATTATTATTATTTTCTTTTACCGCAGACACTTGGACAAAACAAATTATAGACTTTTTAAAAGGTTTCGAAAAACTTTTGTTTAAACGTGCACATTTGCAGACCTTTGAAAATCCGTCAGATTATAAAAATTCTATAGCTCGAACAGATAGAATCGTGATGCGAATTTGTAATTGCATTTAGCAATGGAAAAGAGTTGTAGGTATGAAATATTTTAAGTAAATTTGTCACAAAAATATTTGAAGAAAAATCTGTAACGTTCTGACGTTCTAGAAATGTGGAGTAAATGCAATTTAAAAGGTCTAACCTTGTAATATTAAAATATGGGGTGTTTGCTGAAAATACCCGGAAGGTATATATAGTATGCACTACGTATATTACATAACTATAACTATTATTTATTGAGACCTTGGAGAGTGAGTGAGGACGACGAAAGCTAATTAAATAAAACCGGAGAAGTCCCTCTGCTGTATAATTGGCGTTGAGTGTACCTGGACAGTCGTCACTGAGTATAGGTCAATAGGATATTTTATTAGATACTTATGTCTTATTTCGCTCGATTAGAAATTTATTTAGTTAATTAAGTATTGAACTAATTGAACTAATTTTTGGTAATAGCAAATCGTATACATTATCTAATAATAGTTATATTATTATATTCTTCTTCTTCTTCTTAGGCGTTTACAGGCCATTCAGGCCCATTGCCGCAACAACCACTTGCCTCCACCTGTCTCGGTCTCTTGCCAGCTATATTATTATATTACTCTTCGTTATTGACTTTTAACTTCTAAGTCAATATACCGTAGAATGGTTTGACTAAATGATATAAATATCTATGAAAAGTTAAAATTAATTTAAATATTTTGAAAATGTAATTGTATATACTATTTAGTAAATATTAATTTACCATAATAACTTCCTTACTAATTACAATTTTTTAGTCGAATAAAGCAAAAACCAACATACATATTTTTTTCGCAAACCATACTTAACGCATATTAGTATATATATGCACGTGTGTAAAAATAAAGACTATAAAAATAAAATGTGATTATACGCGTTATAATATACGCGATTATAACTTCCTACCAAAGAGCATTTATAGTATTTATTTTATCCATAGGATTCTCCCTGGTGGCTGCAGCCTGCAGGCATCTACCGATAACCACTGATGTCTGATTGTAAGTTGTAACGTAAAAAATGAATGCACATTCCATGCAAACAAATATTTTATAACTATAAGAGCACGAAATTGTAATCATATAAATATATATAATTAATAATAACTAGGTATCATTGTCACTGGCTCTGGAGGCGCTGATAAAATATTTCATACTCATTTAATTTCAAACACGAGTTTAACGCAGCGTTTGATTTGTCACCGATTCTATAATATTCTATCAAATATAATATCTTATATATTAATTATATAATAATATAAAAATGTATTTATAAAAAGTTCACCTCAATCTTCATCGTTCATTAATACACAAATTCACTGTGAACAATAACCTCATAGAATGCCAAGTGCTGAAGTGCACGGAAAGAAAATTAGAGAATCGAGTAGGCATGCATTCTATCGTTTTTTCAAATATTATTTTATACCTGTATCCATACACAATTAATTTTTTTAATAATATAATGATAGAATTTTTGTTTCTGAAATTTGTATTTTGCGGATTATCCGCGGAATTTACTTATCCACGCGGTTGCCATGCCACTCTATTCCGAGGACAATTGAAAGTTCACTGTATAATCCCGGATCGACACATATCACAGTAAATTATTTTTTTTTTCAAATCGTTGCCACGATAACAAACAAATCGTGTATTTTAATACTCGATAAAATAGCTAAAACACCTGTATGTCGAAAGGCGTCGTCGATTGAAAGATGTGTTGAAACTAAATAAGCTCTCCGAAAGCTAAACCCTCTGAAGCCAACTGCAGTAGGAGGTGTAAGTGCCGCCGGAGAGTTAGATCAAGGGCTCACGTCTCTTTTTCACATTTTTTGTAAAGAAAATTTTCGAAAAAAATTGTTATTTAATCCGTTATACGTGAAACTAGTAGAATTTACTCAACAGGTAATAAACGTACGTGGTTCGATCCCCGGTCGATGACAACATTTTTGCACTATTTTTTAAATATCTGATGTCAATAATATCGGACTTGACACTTAAAGTAGCTATACCGAATACGTTTAACGTAAATTGAAATGAAATGATAATATCATAATATATATTTTGCTTTACCGATGACCTTGCAGACGTATAGAAACTATAGCAATACGTGGAACAAGCGATGGAACGTGACTAGTTCGGCACAAGTGCTGAATAGGATAAGTTCACCGGCCGCCGAGTTTTAGAAGTTTTACTAGCCCAAAAATTCGTTGAATTGGATTAGAACAAGTAAGTTGAATACAAAATCTACCAAAATAAAATCGGACCCAGTTAAACTCGGTAACTCGCTGGTTCTTGTATATTCAGCACACGTTTATCTTAGCATTATAATGTAGGATTACCTAAATGTATTTTGTTAATTATTTTTAAAAATAGTTACACGGTTATATTATGTCAGAATCTCTCAACCCAGACCCGTGATGCGTCCGATCAACTCTTGATTCTTTATTAAGAGCAAACCTTCTCAAGAAAATAAAATAAAGTACTAATTTTAAGATATTATAATCTGATGTTTTGTAGATGGATAATGCTCTGATGTTCCTATACTGTAACATACATGTACACCGGATGTTAATGAACATATTTGTATAAATATTTACAACATCAATTGTGCCGCCCATTGCTTTTGACATTGCTGTAATAAAAAAAATCTAATACAATAAATCTAATTGTATAAAATACAATTTTATGATAAATAATGCGCGGTGTCTGCGGTGATACAGGTATTTTCTTTTATACATTTGTTATTTTGCTTACAATTTTTACTTCGATGGGCCTTGTGTTTTTTTAGGTACTAGATGAGAAATGACGATGAAAGGTTCGAAAACTATTAGCCCGAATTCGCAGGAAGTACGCTAAAGGTTAATTATTTTTCAGATAAAAAAGTGAGTTTAGTAAAATAATATGAGGTACACGAAACCACGCCAAGTATGTGTACTAACATGTTTATATATTATATTATACATATAAACGGCCTTAATGTTTTATTTAGTTGAATATTGTACTACTACTAATAATATATATTATAGTTTATTATGTACGGCGAACGGTGTTGATTGTGATATTATAATATACAAGTAGTAAATATACAGACATTAATAATCATTGTAAATATAAAAATTATGTTGATTATTGTAATTATTGTATATTATATTATTTAAATATACATAAAAACTGTGCACAGGTTCAATATTATAATATACATTCTTTCGGCGATCAATATAGAAATTGTTTAATGCTGTCGGAAATCAAAACGCCGCGCGCCGCTCCGATTAGGTTATCGCGGTTCACCTATGGAATAATATATAGACATATTGAAGGCAGTACAATGTACACATAATAAAACTATTGCGGTACACCTATATGTATAATATGTAATATTTTAATCCTTATCGCGCGCACGTCCAGTTTCTTCCAATTTTTCGCCAAACCAAAATAAAGAACATAATAGTCGATCATCACGCGACCGTTTTCATCTCCAATTGGCCGTCGTCGGTCATTGCCGATCGCCTGGTCATTGCCGATCGCCTTTTAAACGGTCGCTGTTATCGCGGCGATTTCGTTTATGAATGATCATCGTCGTATATATTACCCATTACATAGTGATATGCCCAATTCGTGTATGCTATACTTTTACCTCTATTTCGTTGGTGTGCCCACCGTAAAATGGTATTTACCAAAAAACTTTAGGGGTGTTTACCGAATACGTTTACTCATACTGATTATGATAACAATTTGTTACTATTATTTACTTAAAGTATTTTAATACGTTACGTATATTGTTATGTGGTTTTCTCGTCATCCTAGAAAACTTCAAATACATAGTCGCATTGCCTCACCTATTCTTCTTTTAGTTGGCGGACTAACAAATCCGTTGCTTAACATAGGCAAGTGGAAGGACACAAATCACAGACTAAAATAATTTTAAATATCTAAAAGTTAGTTACCGACGTGGGTCTTGGTGGACATTCACCAGTTATCACAATGGTTATTTAGCTATTACGCAATATTGTATGACCGCTATAATGATAATATTATATTGTTTATCTTGATTCTTGATAGTGTTGACTAGCTCAGCTGCTCGAGTCACAGGTACATTACCGTAACAAAATGAAATACAAATATAACACACATATAAGAGCAGTATGACAGAGGGTGGGTATGTCATATTTTTCGGTAGGTACATACTATACGAGTACCATGATATTTAAATTACAATATATTTTTTCTCACCGCAACAGCTTGTTTAAACTATACGAAGAGCGTCGGATGCGCGAGAATGACTACGGTTCGGAAAGACAGTGATAATATCATACAAAAAAATGATTTCAATAAACGACGATGGTTTGAGGATTCTATATTTTACTCGCCGATCTGTGTTTCAAAAGCTACCTACTCAACTCGCACGTATAATTAGGTATTTTTATTTTTCAACACGTCGACTGTGCTACGCGATTGTCAGCGATTCCTACAGGTCCACGAGTTTTATTTTCATTCCAAAAGTGATATAAATAAATTAATGTAAATTAAATGTATATTATATAGATAGTACATATTACTTTATTTGACAAATTATAATATGATATCTATTAATGAAATATTATCTATACCTAATTATGATATCGTTCCCGTCGTCTTTCCAGATCATAAAAGTCGACTTGCTGCTGTAACGGACGCGTATGGTACTATTATGTGTGAAGGTACCTAACCTACATGTAATACCTATGTATATTTAATACACGATTCTACATTTAAACAGCTGTAGCCGGCTAGAGCGTAATGAGAAAACGCTATAAAAATAAACGTGAAAAACTATGCATTTAAAAAAAACGGTTCCCAGACGTTTTGTATTGCATTATGTTCGCGTATTTAATCGTCCGCATAAAACTACACACACGTCGTATACTTGTATTACTCGAGCGTATTACTATAATAATAATATATGTATTTGTATAATGTACATTGGTATAGACCATCGGTCTACGTACCCTTTATGTATATTATATACCTATGTACAAAGTGAAATAATATAAGGAATACTAGGAACCTTTATGATGATTTATATACCTACGAATTAATGGTCTAGTATTTAGGTATTAATAGTTCTGAAACGTTTTTGCTAAAGTGAAACAGATGACAGCCCCCGAGTTAATTTTTAATTTTGAACTAATTTCTATTGTACATCATATATTTTTTTATGGTATAAACCCCAATTTCCTAAACATTTAAACGTCACACAGTAAGGAAAAAAACCTTAACGGAAGAGGTGATTTACATTAATTGTATACAATATTGTTTTCTTCGCAGTCGCTCGAACAAACGTGCAATATAATGTAATGTAAAATCGCAGAAGGGAAGAAAAATCCAAACTCATCGATCAATTAATACGAGCTAGTTCGATTAAAGGCATGGAAAAATCGTAAAAAAAGGTTCCGAGTAAATTAAAACACATAACAATCCTAGAATAGTATCAAATAAATAATAATCGAATACTTAGCATGACGTGTCCAAATGAAAATTGTTGGAATACTTAGAAAATACATTTTTAAATTTGATCCAAAAATTTGTATTCGTGCGTAAGATATACAAAAAACATACATTATAATGTATTGTATTGTTACAATAATATATTGTATTAATTATAAATTGTTTAAAACTCAAAATAGTTACTTTATAATCATAACCCCTCGCTTTTCACTCTATAGTTGCACAGCGAGGCGACAACTGTTTATATAAGACAAAACGCGTTCGGGAAAAAAAATAACAATAAAAACAACAACGACAACAAGTAACTATATAATATTATTATCATTATATTATATATGGCGTCGATGCTTGTGTTGTCCAAAGGAACGTTCCTGTGCAACAGCAGCAGTTTCTATACATCTAAGCGAAGCCGTTAAAGTCGAGTAAAATGATAATGATAATAATAATAATAATGATGATAAATATATACAACCAACTAGTATTATTATTATTATTATGTATTCGCACACAATAGCAGCATCGCGCTGCGACACAATGTGTATACTTATACAAGTATAAAGTAAGTATGGACGTGTGTTGTACGTATACCTATATATTTTACATTATTATGGTAAGCGAGTGAGAGGGGAGGTACGGGCTCACCCTTATTATCGGCAGGTATATTTCCCCTTTTTTCGAGTTATTTCACATCGTCGTAATGTAACCGCGTTCTTCGCCTTGTGCATTTCAGTGTCTCTGTATACTCCACGTTGGATATACAATATTCTATACACATATTCTATACAAGTAGTTTGCATACCTATAAGATAAAAGCGCGAACGAGAAATAAACGGTCGTCCGATTTATGCTAATTTTATTATTACTATTATCATTAGTAGCAGTAACAGTAGTAGTAATAGTAGTAGTAGTAGTAGTATTGTGTACATTAAAATATATAAAGCGCACGCGGCACTTTAATTAAGTCGCTGTAAGAATAACGAGAGCAGGGAAATAAAAAAAAACTGACGAACTTGCTCGCATGCATCTCTAATTTATCTATTATGTTATGTACACACATAAATATGATATTATAAATAATATATAATAATACAAGTCTGAAAATCGGAATATCAGTCAAATCGTTAAAGCTATTTCGCGGTCTGCAGAATTATAGCTTTAGCTATAATATCATATACTATGATGTTATTGCCGTTGTAAAACGTCTATATCCGATGGTGGGGAGCTGTTGTAGCTTAATATTGGAAATAAATAAAATTGAACATAACTGTACCTACGAGTGTATAGGTCTGTATCCAGTGTAGATATATATAGTCAAATCCATAGATAGGTAAGTCTCTATCCACATTAATATAATATGGACTGCAGAGCGTTCCCCATACCATGTTATACGTTACCAAGATTAGTAGAAAGAGATAGTAAATAACTGTGCATATGATATGATGGCATCAACAGAAGATAATAATAATACGCTATCTTTTTCTACAAATGTTGTTATTTTTTAAATTTTTTTGTCTAACTTCTTGCTCTCTCTCTCTCTCTCTCCTTAGCTATTAATGGGTATACTGAGTTGTATGCTGTCTTATTTTTAACTACGTTGACCCTTGGACCTCTCTCTGCTATCAATTCATTTCGTTAGAGGTCTGTCATGGTCAAATCGGCTCAGCAAAACAAGTCGAAAAACCGAAATCGACGGGACGATTTTCACCGAGCTGGAGTTAACCGAACGAATAATCTTCGCAAAACGCACACAATATGACATAGTAATATTATACTTTGTGTATGACAGTTTAAAAATCAAGTCCACATTATATTATTATACATATATATTATATGTGTATGCGCATTGTGCACGTATATTGTACTTTGAATATAATATATTTTATAGTCCGTATGGCGGTAAAAACGTTGGCTTTGCAAACGAATATATAGAATTTTATGCACTTTAAAGTTCGCAATAAAAATAAAGACGTTCTTAAACTGGAGTAAATGATAAAAAGAGAAACAATTGACATAATATTATCGTCCAACGACCGTATGAAATGCGACAATATGATATCTGCAGCATATATAATTATGTACATATAACACATAGCTATATATAGATATAAAATGTTGGAAATGATGCATATAATAATACGACTTGAACTCATATTGTGAATAAAATCGTACGTATTTTATATACATACTTACCTATATACTACAAAATAGAACAAAGACAATTATTCTATACGCCATATTAAATATTATGAAAGTATTTATGTATATTGTATGTATAGGTATATATACTATACTGCAGATTCACCAAGCATGCTCACCACTATTTCTAAAATTTGATAATGAACTTATTCAAATTTTAATTTTTAGAATTTTAAAATATCCTTACTTGAAGACCAAATTTTCAAATTCTTGGTATTTTTTAAGCTACTTAAAGAGTGTTATATGATGATAGAAACTCCTGTTTTTCTAATGCGAACCCTACTTATTTTCTGTAAAATATTTAGCGGATATTTTAAAAAAA